CAAACAGGGTTGACTCTCAGGGCACCTCACGAAGTCACCGTGCACCATGGAAACCCATCATTACACGTCATCTCCAGACGTATAATGTCTCTGCATTTCACACCAAGCACTTCTTTATCGAAGAGCTTTCGTGTTTCAGATTTGTGTTTTGAAAAGGTGTGTGTTTGTACAGGTTGTACCCTGCACAGGGACTCACATTCAAGGCCTGGCCATTGGCATCATGGACCTCAAAAGAACTGTGGCAGTTCTTTTGTTTCCCCAAGTGTGGGAGACAAAAAAAAAAAAAACAGAATTATCTTCCGAAGGGCAGGCCCCTTATAGTGCAGGCTTCCCTCACTAGGTGAGTGTTCTGGGAACCACCTGTCTCAGTGTACCAGCTGGTGTTGTTGTGAGAGGCTGCATTCGGTCCCAGTGAAATTTTTTTGAAGACTCAACGTGTTTGCCCATTTCATTATGGGGGTTTAGAGCACACCTGCCCACACCACACTGAGTGTTCAGCTGTTTTTAACAACAAAAAAACATGACCCCCCCATGCCATACCCTCCTTATTCACCCGATCTCACCCTGAACAACTTTTCTTTTTGTTTCCCTGGATGAAAAATATCCAGGGAACCATTTTGCTGATGTGGAAGAGGTGAAACAAGAAACATCAGAAGCACTAAAAGGCATCAAAATCCACAATTCAAATACTGTTTTGAGCATTGAAAAAAACATTTTGATAGGTGTATTGCATCAAATGGAGAGCACTTTGAAGGTGACTGGAGTTTAAACATGTTAACAATAAATACATATTTTTCAATAAATAAATTCCAGTTTGGGGAGGGCGGTTCCCTCTTTGTATATTTATTATGAGCATTTCCAGCAGGTGGCAGTAAAAGGTTTGGTTCTGATGAAATCAGGGAGGTCAAGTGTCTTGAGGAAGGGACATACCATACATCTTTTCATTTTGGGTTTTTTTTTTTAAGACTTTATTTTTAGAGGGAGGGGAAGGGAAGGAGAAACAGAGGGAGAGAAACATCAATGTGTGGTTGCCTCTCACATGCCCCCTCCTGGGGACCTGGCCTGCAACCCAGGCATGTGCCCTGATTGGGAATCGAACCAACAACCCTTTGGTTCACAGGTCCATGCTAAATCCACTGAGCTACACCAGTCAAGGGCAGTACATCTTCTAATTTGCACAAAGGCACCTATGACCTAGCAGTGGCCTTTTTGGCATGGATCTGCAGGACAAAACTGGGGACAAAGAAACCATTTAGACAGCCATTACTGTTTTCTGGGCTGGAAGAGAATGGCAACACGCGTGGAGAAGAAGGGCAAAGGTGTGTGAGGTTAATGAGGCTGGGAGGAGAAAGGGAGGGGGAGGAAGAGGAAATGACTCCCAGGTCTGTCTGTGGATGGAGCTGCCAGACCCAAGGGCAATGGGAGGGACAGGTTTGGGAAAGGGGTGGTTTTGATCTGGGGAGTTTTATTTACCGGGGGGACACCCACATGAGGAGTCCCAGGTGACATCACAGCAGAGCTAGCGGTGCACGTCTGACCACATGTGCGGGTAGGTAGAAGCCGGAGCCACACATGGATGTGACTCCCCGCAAAGACTGCATGGCCTGCGCAGAGCAAAAGGTCCACACAGAGCGCCAGGGGCACCGTCACCTAGTGGGCGAGTGTACAAGCAAGAACGGGCCGGGGAAGGAGACAGGCTTGAAGGAGTGGCCACTCCACGCCCTCCATCCCGGCATTCCATTTCACGCGGTATTGCCCATCTGCTGGGGGCTGGGGTTTCCAGTGTTGATTCAAATTGTCTATTAAATGAGAGGACACAGTCTCTCCCAAAATGATGTACATGGTGAGCTTTTCAACATTCTTTTTGGCTGCAGAAATTATTTTTTGACTACCAGATACTCGGCCACATTCCAGATGGTTACTATTGCTGGAAGTGAGACTTCCAAGAAATGAGAGGTTTGCTATGCAAGTCTATAAACTTCCGTAGAAGTCTGCACCGCTTAACAGAGTGATCAATAAAGTCACTCAAGAATGTAGCAACTAAAACATGGAAAAGACGTGAGAATGAATTTTCAGTGACGTAGTGCTTTTAATTATGGAAATGGCATCTAAATATTTAATGCTTATTTTATAGTTCAGAACAAATGCAACGGAATGCATTTGTCAGAACAGCATTTGAAAATATTAATAATGATTAATATTATTTCAAACATTTAAATGGTGACATTTCTGTCCCAAGCAATGTTCAGGTTAAACATTCATTAGAGAAAATAGCTCTTCGGTCTTGATTTTCTGCTGTGTATCATTAAGAATTTTTCCTCTTCAAAGAAAAAAAAAAAGCCCACCTCCGCTGTTGCTCTAGAGCATATGATGCAAGTTTTCTGTCTTGTAACCGGTTCTGGAAGGGGCAGCGGTCCAGGAGCTCAGCCGCAGGTGAGCCTCCCTTTGGGCCTCGCTTTGTGCCAGCTGCTGAATCACTGCCCTTAGTTTTCGGTGCTGCATTTGACTCCAGCAGATTTTCCTTCTGTGAATTTCACGTCTGTGCATCTGTCTGTCAAGCTGCAAATAACCAACCTTCAGCGGCTTCTTGAAGGCTCCAAGAATGCAGGGCTTCCCATTAGCCCCGCTTCTTGTGTGACAGCTTAAAGTTAATGAACTCGGGAGGATGCTTAACTTCTTCCTCTAAATGCAGGTGACGGACACAGGAGAGTGATGGTCCAAGATGCTAAATTAAATTTGGTTTCTCGGAAGCTTAAAATGGGAGGCTCCTTGGCCCCTACACCCATGTAGAAAAAAGTGCAAGTGGAGTGCACCTTCCTCCCAGGCACGGGGCCCCTGAGCTGAGCAAGTGCAGGAAACTCCTTTTTGTAAATCCTCACCCAAGGATATGTCAACTGATTTTAGAGAGGGAAAGAACCATCCGTGTGAGACAGAAGCATCAACCGGTTGCCTCCTGCACGTGCCATCATCAGGGATCGAACCCACAACCTTTTGGTGTACGGGAGGACACTCCCACCCACTGCGCCACTCTGTTAGGGCGGAGACTCCTTTTCATTGCACACAGCAGGAGTTGCGCATTTTAACCCGGAGTCATACAGCAAGCCCCTGAGTGACAGCTGAGTGACTAGTTTCTTCTGGGTGGGTACACTTTTTAAGATAAAGGGGATCGGGCAGCAGTCCGAATACAGCAAATCAGATTACTACATTACTACGTAATAATGGCCTGAATTTCAAGTGCCCTGTCCCATGTCCCAACAGATCTGCTCATACCTCTCAAACGACAGCGCCCGCCCCCCAATCCTTGATTCAGAAAACATGACCACTGCATAAAGGAACTGTTGGTAAACACAATATTCACTGCTTAATTACCTGGAAAGGGTGTTGTGAGGTGAATTCGCAGTGATTTAGCACTTTTCATTATGGAAATGCCACATAAATATTTAACTCTAATGCTTATTTTATTCTAATTTGTGTTCATTACATTTGCTTAGTTAATATGGCATGCTTATGCCAAGTTTTTATTTTATTGCCATAGATTTTATAAATGATGGCAATTTCATGTGCTAGTTTATTTGAAATTAGGTTAATTGTAAAGACAGAGAATCACCTGTTAATTAGGGGTTAGTATTTATGCCATTGGAACAGCAAACCCCCAACACACAGGCACACACACCTGTGCAAAAAGCTCACACGGCAAATTTACACACAGATGCCCATGCACATACTTTCACTCCCGTGTGTGAGTGAAACACCTCATTGGCGCATCGCCATTCGCTTTGTAAAGGAAGAAATTTTTCTCTACAGGCTCATTCATACTTTTGAAGGCAGACATGTTTGATTTATCAGAACATCCTTCTAAAATTGAGGAATAAGGAAAAATAACAAAATAGGAGGAAGGAGAAAGCATATAGATTGTATAAAACAATTATATAGATTAAAAAAGTTTTTGACTCAAAATCTTTGATAGAATGTGAAGTGGTTTCAGGAAAATTTCTCTCTATCATATTTACCAAATGATATGTTTGTTAAACTCGGGGCCATTCGTAGGTGCTGAGGGTACATGGGAAACCCCAGGGCCCCAACCTCCCTTCACAGGTCTCCTCACTAGGAATCCACTTCTTGGGTTAAGCATTTCACCATCCGTAGTATAACTCAGTTCTTCCCATCTACTTTCCTCCGGGACAAGAGGGACCTGGGGCATCAAGTGATAAGGAAAACGAGATTCTGAAATGGGTCCCAGTGGGTACCAAAGACAGACTTAACCTACATCACCATCCTCTTCATAGATGGCCCTGCTATCTGTAGGCTAAAAGAAGCTCAGGTCCTGTGTTATGGTTTTGTTTTGGTCAGGATTAATTTCTGCCAACAATGGTTGGCAATGGTTGAAACAAGAGTTTATTTCTCTTTCATGCAAAAGAAGTCTATAGAACATAGACCAGATTGGTGAGGAAGCTCCACAGCCATAAGGTACCTCCATTCCTTCTATCTTGTTACTCTATCATCCACACTTTCTTCTCTTGGTCAAAGATGGCTGCTCAAATTCCGGCCATCACATCCTCAGTCCACCAGTAGAAAAGGAAGGAGTACCATACAACATGACTGCCTTTCATTAGCCAGAACTTAGTCCTATGACCACACTAATCAACAAGGGATATTGGGGAAAACCATCTTTATTTCTTCCTATGGATATGGGATCAACAACAACAAAAAAACAAATCAAAGGTCCATATACAAAGGGGGATGGAGAAGAATTAATTTCAAAAGATAACTGGGAGACCTTGCTATAGGATTATATACCAGGTCTTGCTAAAATATCTTACTTGTCTATGACCTGAATTCTTTTCAGCTTTCCAAATTTTTTTCCAGGCCCAGACATAAAAATCGCAAATGAATAAATGTAATCAAACTCAAAGACCATTCCCCCACGTCCCCCCAAAAAAGCTTTAGAAAGCTCAGGCCCCATTCTGTGATTGCCTGTTAACTTCTCCTTGTAATTTCAGCGGAAATTCTAGAACTGGCTGGCAATGCTGCGAGGGACAACAAGAAGGCCCGGATAGCCCCAAGACACATCCTGCTGGCAGTTGCCAATGACGAGGAGCTCAATCAGGTATGTCTGCAGCATGGACACATGCCACCAAATGGATTTACCAAACACTGTTGCATGTGGCTGTGGCTGGCTACAAATCATTCCTGCTACAGTTCCTAGTCACATTTATACCAAAAAAACTTTGATCATTTAAGAGAAGAACCAATTCTGCTAGCTGTATCATTCAGCTTCAAAATAAAATTGCCTCTGGAATAGATCCCATCATATATTCTGGGTCTGATCAGATCTCCTTCTCCTCTTTAAGAGCAAGCTCAGTGTGTTGGTGGGGAAGGTACAGTGCAAATGTATTACTCTCTTCACAGTCTCTTCCCCCAGACTTTGTTGATGATGTATTCTGGTGAGGGCAGGAGAGCCCTTCTTCACCTATTAGAACTGACCTTTTATGTTTTAGAACTGACTCCAAAGTGGAGTGCATGTCCCACCCGCCCTCAAGGATGTGCAAGGTGGCAGGTCGATAGTATAAGAATTTTTTTAAAAAAGAATCCAAGATGGTGGAGGAGTAAGTGGAAGCTACACTGACTTCCTCCCGGGACCAATCTGGAATTACAGCTAAATTGTAGAGAAATTATCTTGACTAACCAACTGAACACTAGCTGGACAGAAGCTTATAACCTTGGACAAACAGAAGAAAACACTTCCCCACAGTGTGACTGGAGGGAGTGTGTAGGAGACACAGAGGGCTGGCCGGGCTTCCACAGATGGCAGGTGAAGTGCCAGAGGGATATTTCAGCAGCCAGGGGGATCCCCCTGAGAAGTGCGGGATCTAAACCCCAAGCCCAGCTCCCCGACCTACAGAGCACCAGGGCCAGAAATGAACCCAAATAACATCCAGCTGTGAAAAGCAGCGGGGTTTCTGTCTGCCAGGGAGAGATGACTAGAGACGCAGAGAGCCTCTTAAAGGGCCAATGCACAAAAATTTTTTTTGCAGCCACTTTCTCTGGGCACCGGCAAAGGGAGGGCAGAGTGCACTAGAGACTCTTGAGGTAAGTTGAGGGTTGTTGGCTCTGGGGAGAGAACTGAGGGAACTGCCAGCAGGATCCAGGTGCTGAGTCATTCCCCATACTGCATGAGCCATCTCTCTCAGGCAGAACACTCCTGTCTGAGTGGCATCAGCCTGAGGGGGAGCAATAGCCCTGCCAGCAGGAATCACTCTGCCCCACCCTGTGGAGTTTAAGCCTGAATGCTGATTACAGATTGATCAAATTAACAACTGATCGCCTTAACAGCTAATTAGTTTAACATCTAAGGCAGAAAATACAAAGCAGACAAGAATAGGAAGGCAAAGAAACAGAACTCAAATGAAAGAGCAAGAGAATTTTCCAGAAGAACTAGATGAGCCCTGGCTGGCATAGTTCAGTGGATTGAGCGCGGGCCTGTGAACCAGAGTATCGCGGTTCGATTCCCAGTCAGGGCACATGCCTGGGTTGCAGGCCAGTTCCCAGCAGGGGACGCATAAGAGGCAACCATACATTGATATTTCTCTCCCTCTCTCCTTCCCTTCCCTTCTCTCAAAAAAATAAATAAATAAAATATTTTTTAAAAAAAAGAACTAGATGAAATGGAGATAAGCAATTTCTCAGATAGAGTTTAGAATTATGATTATAAGGACACTCAACAACAACAACAAAAAAGGATACTCACCAGCATGGGAAAAGGCATAGAAATCATGTAAAAAGATCAGTCAGAAATAAAGAACGCACTATCTGAGATAAATAATACACTGGAAGGAATTATCAGTAGGTTAGATGAAGCAGAGGATCAAATCAGTGTTTTGAAAGACAAAGTAGAAAAAACAATCAGGCGAAGCAGCAAAAAGAAAAAAGAATTTTAAAAATGAGGAGAGGTGGGGTACAGGGACTGAGCAAAAAAGAGAAAGGATTCATGGATGCCACAACAGAGTGGTGATTGTTGGGAGGAGTGGGGTATAAGAGGACTAAGTGGTAATGGAAAAATATAATAAAGATTATATATTTAAACCTAAATGAGGAGAGCTTAAGAAACATCTTGAAGAGCATGAAGCATAACAACATCTGCATCATGGGAAAACCAGAAGGAGAAGAGAGTGAGCAAGGGATTGAGAACCCATTTGAAGAAATAATAACCCAAAACTTTCCTTACCTGGTGAAGGAAAATGTCACACAAGTCCAGGAAGCTCAGAGAGTCTCAAACACAAGTTGGACCCAAAGAGGCCTACACCGAGACACATCGTAATTAAAATGACAAGACTTAAAGATAAGGAGAGAATCCAAAATGCCACAAGAGGAAAGCAGGTAGTAACCTACAAGAGAGCACCAATTAGACTGTCATCTGATTACTCAACAGAATATTTTAGACCAGAAGGGAATGGCATGAAATATTCAAGGTGATGAAAAGCCAAGACCTACAACCAAGGCTACTTTACCCAGCAAGGCTGTCATTTAAAAATTGAAGGAGAGCCCTGGCTGGTGTGGCTCAGTCCGGTTGAGCACAAGCCTGTGAACCAAAGGGTCGCTGGTACAATTCCCAGTCAGGGCACATGCCTGGGTAGCAGGCCAGGTCAGGTCCCTAGTAGGGGCTGCACAAAAGGCAACCACACATTGATGTTTCTCTCCTTCTCTTTCTCCTTCCTTTCCCCTCTAAAAATAAATAAATCAAATATTTTTTAAAAATCAAAGGAGAAATAAGGAGCTTCCCAGACAAGAAAAAGCTAAAGGATTTTGTTACCATCAAACTAGTACTGAAACAAATGGTAAAGAGCTTGAAAGAAGAAGAAGTAGGAAGAGAGGAAGAAGAAGAGGGAAGAGAAAGAGGAGAAGAAAGGAGAAAAAGAAGGGAAAAGAAGGAGAGAGAAAGAAAGAAGAAAAAAAACAACAGGAAAACAGCCTAACAATAAAATGGCACTTACACACGTATCTATCAATAATCACCTTAAATGTAAGCGGCTTAAAAGCTACAACCAAGAGACAGAAAATAGCTGAATGGATAAGAAAATAAGACTCATATGTACACTGCCCCTCAGAGATCCATCTCAGATCAAAAGACACACACAGACTATAAGTAAAGGGTTAGAAAAAATTTTTTTCATGCAAATAGAAAAGAAAAAAAAAGGCTGGGGTAGCAAAACTTATATCTGACAAAATAGACTTTATAACCAAGGCTATAGTAAGAGACAAAGAAGGACACTACATAATGATAAAGAAACAATCCAACAAGAGGATATAAATAATCCTTGTAAATATTTATGCACCCAACATAAGGGCCTAAATATGTAAAGCAAATCTTAATGGACCTAAAAGGAGATAAAACACTAATTTGAAAGAACATAATAAGCACCCCTATGTTCAGTGCAGCATCAAGTACAATCACCAAGATACGGAAGCAGCCTAAGTGCTTATCAATAGATGAATGAGTAAAACAACTATGGACAATTACATAATGGAATTCCACTTGGCCATAAAAAAGAAAATTTTATCCTTTACAACAGTGTGAATGGGCCTGGAGAAAATTGTGCTAAGTGAAATAAGCCAGTCAGAGAAAGACAAATACCATATGATTTCACTCATGTGGGGGGAATCTAATGAACAAACTGAACTAGCAAGCTAAACAGAGACAGGCTCATAGACAGAGAACAGATGACAGCTAGTGGGTAGGGGGAGGTTAGGGGGTGGAGAGACTGAGCGAAAAGGAAAAAGGACTCACAGACACGGACAACAGTGTGGTGATTGCTCAGGGGAGGGAGGTATATGGGGACTAAATAGTAATGGAAAAATTAAATTAAAAAAAACATTTTTAAAAAAAAGAATTTTTATTTGTATTTATTTTCTAATCCCATTTTCTCAAACTGTCTGTGGTAAAGTGATTTTTATTTCCAATCCATCATGAGCTGATAATTTCAAAAACTATGATAAAAAATAATTACTAGAAAAATAAAATAACACAATCTACAAGCTATCAGAGTTGTATTATTAGATCCAATAGGTATACAACAGCTCCGTGAATTTACTGTAAAGGTCTCTGGACTTCCTCGTGATCCCCGTACTTTGGCACAGATGGATCCCTGGTGGCTGTGCACCGGCCTGGCTGCAGACCACACTTGGGGCATTGCCGCACTGGGGTGGGCAGAATGCATCAGTGGAGTAGTACCGGCCCATTAGTTAAAGTGAACAGGCAGCAGGTGGTGGGGGGCCCAGTCAAACAGGCTACACTGACTGACTACGTGATTAAAAGGGTGTGGAACCACTGGTCTGCTATTAGCCGGGTCTAGCCCTCGCATTGACCTTTGAACCTTACTTTGTCAAGCTGTGCTCTCCATTGTGCAGCTCTGTATCCTCTGTTACGTCTGGAATTCCAGAGTCCATCACTGGTTCACCCTCTGTACCCTTTCATGTTTCTTTGCTTGTTTTGTTGTTTTGTGCAAGACCACAGGGGGCCTTGGTAAGTAGAGACACGCTCTGCAGTGGAAATGGGGAAAGCCAATTTGAGTGTGTTTTCTGCAATTTCTTTGGAAACGCAAAGACCAGAGTTAGACCTTGTTTTGCAAGCAGTTAGAATTGTGTTAAATCCATAATTGAAAAGCTCTTAGCTGTCGGAACTTGCGTGTCTCTTTCTTCAGCTGCTAAAAGGAGTGACCATTGCCAGTGGCGGCGTCCTGCCCAGAATTCACCCCGAACTGCTGGCCAAAAAGCGAGGGACCAAAGGCAAGTCGGAAACTATCCTCTCCCCTCCCCCAGAGAAAAGAGGAAGGAAGGCCACGTCAGGCAAGAAGGGGGGCAAGAAATCCAAGGCTGCCAAACCACGGACGTCCAAAAAGGTGAGCCAGGGACTCTCAGAACAGGAGGAAAGTTGAACATTCAAAAGATGAAGGTGTAGCAGCATCTCCAAAGAGCTGGGGCCTCTCCACGGCTTGGTGCTGGGAGAAAATGACATGAGTGTCTACAGAGAGAAATAAGCAGCTCTTGAGACGCAGCTCAGGTCATCAGGCAGGTTTCCAAACCCCAAGTGTGGGTGGTTTCCATGTTTCCAGATCCCCTCCATTGTCCCCACTAAAGTCTTACGTGAGAGCTAACAGCCAGGAACTCCGCCCTGCATTTCTCCAGCACTCCATGTTGCACACTGAAACATCTCTAGTCTCCCCTAGATAGTCAAGTCCAGCCAGTGGGATTTCAGCTGTTCCTGACAGTCTGATACGCTAAGTAGCTATAGCTCAGAGATGCCATTTGCAGACCAATATTTTCTCATGCTGACCAGCACAGTAACCGCTATCCATGTGTGGCTGTTTCCATTTGAATTGAACTTAATTAAAATTAAATCAAATTTAAAATTCATTCCTCGGTCTTACCAGCTGAGTGCTCGCTCAGTCACACTGAGCAGCACAGATGCAGGACATTCCTATGATCACAGGAAATTCTGTTGGACAGCGCAGCTTGTAAGCGTCCCCCACAGACCTCTGTGACAACACGGAGGTTATGTAAGAGCTCGCTGCGCTGCCACAGCGCCCCAGGGAAAGCCCAGGGAGAAGGGGGCTTGAGCAGTGCGCTGCAGTGGCCCCCCTTGGTTCCGATGCTTGCCATCATAAAGCTGCAGGCATCCACAACAGCAAGAATAACCTACCTGTCCAGGTTTGAGTGAGAACTACAGACACTGTGAACCCTTTGACGCACCGTATTTTTGGCAGCACCCTTTCCTTTCCCTCATATTGCTGTCCCTTGCTTCTCTGCTGAGAACAGAACATAACACCTGACCACTTCCTTCATACCCACGTTGATGGTAGGTAGCCATGGGAAGGGCTTTGCTGAGCCAGTTTGGGCTTTTTCCAAATGATTCCTCATCTGTCCCTCTGGTTTCTACCCACAGTCCAAACCAAAGGATAGCGACAAAGAAGGAACTTCAAATTCCACCTCTGAAGATGGGCCAGGGGATGGATTCACCATCCTCTCTTCCAAGAGCCTTGTTCTAGGGCAGAAGGTAATAAAGAGGATTGTACTGTGCTGTAGTAAAACACGACTGCATTTTTATAATGTAAAACTGGGAGCCGGGCTCCCATTGCCTTGGCTCCCCTAATCCAACTTTCACCCTGGCCTTGAATTAATCATCTTTAAACTAAAGAGCAAGGGCAGTGTCTGCGCTGTGAGGGCAGACAAACTCTGGAGCGCTGATTGTTGTTCATGCTGACGCTGGTCAGCCTAGGGATCTCTTCTGGATGGCAGAGAGGACGGCATTGCTGGGTTTGCCGTAAACTCCCCTGCCCCTGTTATTCCTGTGCACACACAGCTAACTTTTCTCAAACAGGCTTTGGGAGGTCTACCTTACATGACTCAATGCAATTTATCAAAGAAAGAAAGGAGAAATATGTTTCCTGAAAACCCTTGGTGTTAGAAATGAATTATTTGCCAATAATTTAGTCCGCTTGCCTTTCCTGGTGGCAGGAAGAAAACAAACAGGGCTAGAGATTTGAACAGTCTCCAGCACAACGGCAGCCCAGCCAGACATGCAAATAATTCATTCCCACAGCATCAGAGTTTACCAAACAGACAATTTATCTATCAGCTCAACCAGGGCTGCAATAAGATCCACAAGGAAACAGTGAACCAAATCCCTGGTAGCTGAGTGTCTGCAGCCTGGCAGCAGTAGTGTGAACTTCTACTGAAGCAGTTGGGAAAGGCGTGTTAGAAGAAGAGCGCAATGTGGCAGGTCCCTGATTCATCACTGATGGAAGCCAGGAGCAAAGAGACGGAACTGATGTCCCCTCTAGGGGCCATCCGTAGTTACATGACAATTAGCTTTCTCTCACTTCTCTAGGGGAACATGAAGTTCTTACCTACATGGGGAGACATGGATAATGCCTTCACCGTACTAAGCTGTGAGCACATTTTTCTTTTGTGCTCATAGGGCAGCACCTCACAAGCGTAGCCCCAACAATGTGGTCCCCTGAAGGCAAGGTGGCCAGACATAGGCAAGTCAGGGTCCTGGAGCCCATTACTTCTCAAGCAAGGCCATCAGCTTTGCGTCCCTGCCACAAAGCTCTGTCCTGCTCCGCGAGAGAGGCAGGAAGCAAAAGGCAGAGGAGAGAGCACGCTCCAGGCTCCCCTTGCAAGAGCTGCTCAGAGAATACGTCACCAAACCCCAGGGCTGCCAGGCCTGGGGATCGAAGGCAGAGGCTACAGAGAAAGGAAGAGGAGGGCAGGTCCCATTTCTGCTCCTGGAGGAGGAGATTTGTTGCTTGCTGCCAACCTCAGAGTGAAAATCAAATCCACTGAGCTCCCAAGAGCCCAGTGAAAACCAAACACCTGGGAAACGCGAGACAGTTGCTCCAGGTACAGCCCTTGGTGTTGACAGTATTAATGATTGGGAGAATGAACAGAGAGGATGTCAAGTATAAAGATTTTCAACAGGACTTCATCTTTCCTGCACTCTCCCTCCTTCTTTTCTTCCTAACGCAGCTGTCCCTGACCCAGAGTGACATCAGCCACATTGGCTCCATGAGAGTGGAGGGCATCGTCCACCCAACCACAGCCGAAATCGACCTCAAGGAAGACATAGGTAAGGTCCTGAGACTTTGGTGGTGTGCGCAGGACAGCCCGCTGTTCGGGCAAGTTCTTGTGAAGTTGGCCGTTGTCACCTGGACACGCTCTGCCTGGCACACCATGTCGGACGCTGCCAGGTGTGCAGCCGAACACCAGGCCTACAGAGTAACTCATGTTCTTCTAAATCGGCATATATTCTTGAAATTTGTATTGAAGTGCTGTACAAAAACAGATCATTAGGGCACAGTTTGGTGAATATTTCTCAAAGTGAATACATTTTCGTAACCAGCACCTAGATCGTGAGGCAGATCCTCACCGAGGCCTCGGAAGTGCCCCTCCACCCCACCCCCAGTCACCGTTCCCTCCGCGGTGACTACCGTCTTGGTCTCTGAAGCACAGACAGTGTCATCTGTTTTAGAGTTTACGTGAATGAAGTCACGCTGCGTGTCTTCTTTTGTTCTGGCTCCTTTGCTCCACTCCGTATTTGTAAAATCCACCCGCACGGTTGAAGCCCACTCATTTGTTTTCTTTGCTGCGTGGTGCTCCATTGTGGGAATATTCCACAGTGTGTCCTTCTGTTCTACCATTTGGGGAGTTTCCAGTTTAGACAATAACGAGGAATACTGCCAGAAACATTGTTGTACATGTTCTGGGTAAAACTCTACATATGTTTTAAGCGTTCACAGTGAGAACACCATTGATAAAAAGAAAACAAACATGTAGGAAAAGTTAACGTCTTTAAGGTGGGGGTGGGGCCAGGCTCAGCAGAAGAGCTTGGGAAGGTGAGCTATCACGGCCACCAGGAAGACTGCGATGGCATACTACGTGATCACCATCGTGGCCATTTCACAGGACAGAGGTGCCTGAAGCTCTCCATTGAAAGAGTGAAGTGAGCAAAGAAAGGCCTTTGTCTCTGGGATCCGGGGCTGCCTCTGAGATGGGTGATTAGAGGCAGTTTCCAGTGGTTCCGCCCTGGATGGCGGCCCCGGGGCCCCACCCGCTGGGCTCACTGCGTTCCCCGCCTGGCAGCCGAAGCCACATGCTTTGCAGAAAAGGAGATAGGGCAGCACTGGGGAGGGGGCAATGCATCACGGAGAAGCAGGACTTCTCCAGCACAGAAACGGAGGTGGCGAAAATGCCTGCTTCACCGTTCAAACCCAGCTGAGGCCCCACCAACGCCTGGTCTCCGGGGAAGGCTGCCCCCACAGCTTTAACCTCCAGCTCCGTTTGGAAGTGTGTCCTAGCTTTTCACAAGCAAAACAAGTGACGGTGTCCTACTTTATTATTTCTACAGTTCGCACGTTTATTTTAGGAAAACTAGAGGTATTCCCGTTTTTTAAGTGGCAGAGTTGTAGTAGCATAGAAAGCGCTGGAGTTGAAGGAGAAGCTCGAGTGCAGACCCTGGCCTCGGAGCTTCTGGAGTCAGCCTGCATCTGTGTCCTGGATTTTATGAATCACCTCCTGCCTCTGAGACTTTAAGCAGGTTTCTTAACACTCTGAACCTCTGTTCCCTCACCTGTCAGCGCAGGTGACAGTACTTCTGACCCGCGGGGTGCTGTGCAGATCAAACCAGATAACACGTGGATGGCGCTTCGCACAGCTGGGCTCAGAAGCATTTGATAAACGGTAGTCTTGGTGTCATTAGAAGGGGGCCCTCCCATTGTGTTCCGGTCTCCGCCACCATCACCCAAATCAGCAACTCCATGCGAATAAGACCCTCATCTGTTCTTTCTAAAACACTGTTTGCTATTATGGAAAAGTTCAGGCAGACATAAAAATAGCAGAAGAGAATAACAAAACCCTAGGTTCCCAGTTGCAAAAGTCACCAAACGTGTTTCAGCTCTGCCCCCACGTCCACCCCTCCAAACACCATGTCCTTTATCTGTGAGTATTCCAGAGTAATGAGGGCTAGTTTTCAACAATGTAACCATAATACCGTATCACAGCCAGAACATTTAAGTTGATATCAAGTATCAGTGTTCAAATTCCAGGTGTGTCATAGATGTCAATTATTTTTTTAATTTGTTTATGTGAGTCAGGATCCAAATAATCCACACATTACAATTGGATAATAACTCCCTTAAGTCTCGTGTAGCCCATAGTTTCCCCTTCCGAGATGTGTGTCTCTCTCTCTCTCTCGTTGTTTTTACAATTTATTTGTGGAGGAAGGTAGGCTACAGCCCAGATTTTGTGCCTCGCATACTTCTGGTGTTTTTAAATATGTTTCGTCTCTGTCTTGCTCATAAGTTGAAAGTTGATCCATAGGCTTAATAAGATTCAGGTTCAAAAACTTCGGCAAGACGCCTCGGTCAGTGATGGAATGTCCGTCCGTCAGGGGCACGCGATGCCTGTTTGGTTGGTTGTTTCTTGCTGATGCTCCGTTTCTGGGTTTGTCCATTCGTTAGGGGCAGCAAAGTGGATGTGCTGCATTCCAGCACTTCTTCTTCATTTCCCCACTGGAGTACTTCCACAGAGGGCAAGTCCCCTCATCAAAAGTCCTCAGGGAAAGTGTCCGTGGACTTGCCTTGCCATCTGGCCCCCGACCCGAGTGCAGAGTGCAGCAGCTTAGACCTACTCCCCCTGCTCTCAGCAGCACCTTGGCGACCAGCTCTGGTTACCTGGCCTTTTCCAGGCTTCTGTGCCCCAGCAGGTCAACACTGGCCAGGGGTCTGAGGGCCAGAAAGGAGACGCAGAGGCACCGGGGGTAGCCGGTGATCACCATTCCCAAATTGTATCAATGAAACCCAGGTAGTTTGTAAAGAAATCCCCCTGCCGCGGCCCAGCTGCAGCAGGGTCCAGGGATTCCCGAAAGGTGGGTAAGGCGTTGGCGATGGGTAACAGACAACAACACGCCTCAAAGGACAGTGAAGCTCTGTTCCGTTTATTGCAAGTACAAGTGGTTTTTATATTTTCATTTTAGGTAGTGATTAACATTTGCAGCATAGCATGATCAGTTAAGCAGAAAAAATCAATACAAAGGTAACTAGGAAAAGTACGAAAGTTCCCATAGATTCAAGTTATATTAAACAAAGATTATTTTGACCAGGAGAGCCATAAATCAGACAATTAGAAGTAGCTGTATGTACACAATTTGAATGTCTTATTGTATATTAAAGTTCTTAGAATTTGTCATGGGGCAAAAGGATATACTAGATTGAGTAGAGGTAATAGGAAATTTAATATAAGGCCTTTGTGATGACTAACTTAGCTATCTAGCCTTTTCTGTCTAAAATGTTTCTCTGTGTACTACAAACTCTGACTCCCTAGTAACTGTTTCTATGCGTTTAGTTTGTAATAGCTAACCAGCTTTTCTCATTTCTTTGCCTGTCTAACTGATATATATTCCTATTCAAGGTAGAGGAGGGGCTGTTACTCCAACAACTTTTAGACATACAGGGACTTTGTTCTCTGGTCAAGAAATTATTTTGTACAACTTCATTGGAATAATGCTAATCAATGAACCTGAAATACAAGTGTCTAACAATCCCACCACCTTTTGATCACCCAAACAAACATGTAAGGAGAGACAGACAGGAAATCCAGCCACAGTTGCCTCTGCCTAGCAGATGCATCTCAACCGTCCTGACCTTATCCCTGGGCTGTGGATAGGGGTCTATACAGTTTTTACTTGTTTTCTTGGAAGACCCTTTGTATCTGTGGGTAAGGAACAGTCATGGGAAAGTCTTTCTAATCTGTTCTTCCATTCCCTCAACTGTTGGCAGCACAACCTGTGTTTGCAACAACAACCTGATTCTTTATTAACTGGCCTTAACTGTTCATTTAAGAGAGCTAACTTGTTTTTCTTATTTCTGGTACACCATGGCAGTCCTGATCGCTTTAACTTGCTCAAACCAGGATAATTTATACAACTTGACATGTTTTCCTTTATGGTTAATAATTCTATTACCCTGGATGTCATATACCCCTGTATAAGGGAGAGGGGAATCTGTGGAGCTTTTTCCATCCTTTCGGGCAGTTCCGTGGGGAATACTAATGTGTTCCCCTGAACTGTCCCCTCCTCTTGGGTGATTTTCACAGGAATAAGTAAGTACAGTACAATGCCTATATTCAGTAGCGAGAGTAAAATAATTAAAATAAGCAACCAATTGTTAACCCATTTTGGATGCCACGTTCTCCTCCGGGGAGACGAATTCCTTGAACTTGACTCCTCCAGGCCCGGACCTTGCAGACAGCGTGGTTGGAAGCGGACGTGGCATCCCCCTCCCACCCCCGCCCCAGTGAAGAGCGGCTGCTGGAATGGCATTTCCCTAACCGATGTGCCCAACGCCCTGTGGCTCTCCGAACACACTTGAGTGTGTGAATGTGGAGCAGGGAGGCGCCCTTATCCAGCTTCTAAGGAAGCCTGTGAATTCAAAATAATAACTACTGCTCATCATAAAGAGAGCCGAGACTTGCCCCGGACATCCAAGTCACCAAATCCAGATGGACATACACCAGAGGAAATACCTCGTCTCCTACCGAGAGCAGCCATCATCCTGGTCTGGACAAAGCGCCCGTGGGTGTCAGGGGCACACAGCTCGGGTTCCCAGTGGGCGAGAGGTGGAGTCCTGCCGTCTCCCGGGGGCTCCACGTGGCCTCTGAAGCAGCACAGCTCTGAAATATCAAGTAGGGAGTTGTCCCAACATCCAAGACTCGAAGGATCTTCCAGCAGAAAGCACTGCATTTTTCTATTGAAAATCAAGGCCCGAGTTGGGGAATAGCATTCCAGGGCCGGCCTGTCCTTTGACCCCCAGGACTTACAACACGTTAGTGGTGGTGAGAGGGGAACAGGACCCAGTACTCTCCCCCAGGTTTCTGCTGAGCCATCGGTCACCTCAGGCCTGGGGTGAGCACCCTATTTAACCAGCACAATAGGGACTGAGCCCAGAGAACAGGACACTGGAGCCCCACTTTTTTAATATAAAATCACCTTCAGGATTCATGTCACGAGACACTTTATGGCCAAATCACCCCCTAAAAAAGTTCATTAAGAGCTTAGTACTGGCTCTGGCCAGGTGGCTCAGTTGGCGAGAGCGCCAGCCCAACACACCAAAGCTGTGGGTTCAGCCCCTGTCAGGGCACATACAAGAATCAGCCAGGCCACGCTTTCATAAGTAAACAACAAATCCATGTTTCTCCCTCTCTAAAAATCAGTAAGTCAAAAAAAAATTAAAGCGCCAACCAGGCGACTCAGTCGGTTGGAGCATCAGCCTGTACACAAAAAGGTTGCAGGCCCCATCCCCAGCTGGGGCCCACAGAGGAGGCAAACAATCGTGTTTCTCTCTCCATCTTTCTCCCTTGTTCTCTCTCTCAAATCAATTTTTTTTAAATCCTCAAATGAGGCTTAAAAAATAAAAATTAAATAAAGAGTTTGTTAGAAACGCACACAGGCCAGAGGCTCCACGCCCCCCCCCCCACTACCCCCACCCCCGGCCCCACTGGCTGACCAGGGTTTCAGCTGCGAAGTTCTTTTTTTTGTTTTGTTTTGTTTTGTTTTTAATTATTTTTCAAGTACAGTTTTCTGCCTTTTACTCCCTTCCCAGCCCACCCCCCATGCTCCCCACCTCCCTACCATTTCTACCCCCTTAGCTGTTGTCCATGTGTCTCATACTGGTTCCTCTAAATCCCTCCCTTTTTCCCCTGAAATTCCCTCCCCTTTCCCCTCTGGTCGCCGTCCCCCCCCCCGCCCCCGTTCTCCACTTCAGTGTCTTTATTTTTATTTTGCTTGCTTGTTTGTTTTATTGTTCAGCTGCGAAGTTTTATTCCAGCTTTCTACATATGGATCGGTTGTTTTTTCTGGCCTAATAGAAGTATGTCAAACAGTGTAATCAGTGACACTGAAAAGAACCACCACAGTGACTTCGCTTGTTCTCCTTCACAGGGAAGGCCTTGGAAAAGGCTGGGGGGAAGGAGTTCTTGGACACGGTGAAGGAGCTCCGCAAGTCCCAAGGGCCTTTGGAAGTCGCTGAAGGTGAGTGAGGAGCTGGGCCCGTGCTCCCAGCACGGCCTCCCCCGCCCTCTCCAGCATCACATGCTTCTCGCATGATCCTCTGCAAAGCAAAATATGCCGTAACTGATCAGAAAGCTATTATTTGATTTGAGCAGCCCCACCTCGATCATTTCCTATGCCTTGGAGACTGTAAAATATCCAGATAGTTCCAGTCAGTTTGCATCAGGTCACCCAAAGAAGGTCTGGAGCCACTGGGTAACTTTATTCCAAGCAGTCGTTCTTCCCCCTCTTTCCCCGGCAGCCACCAATCCGCCTCTCTCTCTACGGGTTTGCCTGTTCTGGACACAGCACGTAAACGGACTCTACAACATGGGACCTCTTGTGTCTGACTTCTTTCACATAACAGTTTCTTCAAGGTCCATCATGTGGTAGCATGTATCAGAACCTCGTTCCTTTCCATGGCTGCATAATATTCCATTTTGTCAACTCGGTCATCGCTTGGGCTGTCTGCACCTTTAGCTATTGTGAATAGAGCTGCTATAATCGTTCGTGCACGTTTTGTTTGAACACCTGTTTTTAAATTGTTGGACTTTTTTTTAATTTATTTTTTTAATTGATTATGCTGTTACAGTTGTTCTATTCCCCCCTTCATTCCCCTCCACCCTGCCCCCCCATCCCCACCATTACCCCCCTTTAGTTTATGTCCATGTGTCTCAAGTCCTTTAGGTTCTATATTTCCCATGCTATTCTTGCCCCCCCCCCCCATCTATTTTCTATCTACTGTCTATGCTACTTATTTTCTGTACCTTCTCCCCCTCTCCTCCTCCCACTCCCCTGTTGCTAACCCTCCTTGAGATCTTCATTTCTATGTTTCCACTCCTGATCTAGCTGTCCTTTTAGTTTGCTTTCGTTTTAGGTGTGGTTGTTAATAACTGTGAGCTTGTTGTTCTTTCACTGTTCATGTTTCTTTAACTTCTTTTTCTTAGATAAGTCCCTTTAACATTTCATATAACAAGGGCTTGGTGATGATGAACTCCTTGAATTTGATCTTATCTGAGAAGCACCTTATCTGTCCTTCCATTCTAAATGAAAATTTTGCTGGATAGAGCAATCTTGGTTGTAGGTCTTTAGATTTCATGACTTGAAATATTTCTTTCCAGCCCCTTCTTGCCTGTAAGGTCTCTTTTGAGAAATCTGCTGACAGTCTGATGGGGACTCCTTTGTAGGTGATTGTCCCCTTAGCTCTTGCTGCTTCTAGGATTCTCTCCTTCATTTTAATTTTGGCTAATGTGATTATGATGTGCCTTGGTGTGTTTCTTCTTGGGTCCAACTTTTTTGGTACTCTCTGAGCTTCTTGGATTTCTTGGAAGTCTATTTCCTTTGCCAGATTGGGGAAATTTTCCTTTATTATTTGTTCAAATAAGTTTTCCACTGGTGGCTGTGCCTTTCCCCCTTCTGGTACCCCTATAATTCGGATATTGGAGCGTTTAAAGATGTCCTGGAGGTTCCTAAGACTCTCCTCATTTCTTTGAATTCTTGCTCCTTGACTCTTTTCTGTTTGGCCATTATTTGCTTTCTTCTGGTCCACTCCATTGATTTGAGTCCCAGTTTCCTTTTCATCGCTATGGGTTTCCTGTGGAATTCCATTCATTTCCATTAGTTTAGCCTTCATATGTTTCTCTAATTTGTGGCTATAATCAACCAGATCTGTGAGGATCCTGATGACCAGTGTTTTAAACTGTGCGTCTGAGAGTTTTGCTATTTCTTCGTCGCTTAGATTTATCTCTGGGGCTTTGAGGTCTTCCGGCGACATTTTTGGTCTGTTCTGGCCCTTTAAATGTGAGAAGCGGCGCCTTGGACTCCCAGGTCACTGGGTTGTGACGCTGTATGTGGGGGCGTGGTCAGAGCGGGGAAATGGCGGCGCCCTCTATGCCCCAGCCGGTCCAACCGCTCACTCCCTCGGTCCAACCGCCCACTCCCTCGCCTGTCCGCTCGCGTGCAACTAGGCAACCGCAGTCAACACGCTGCACCGCCTCCCCACTGTCTCCTCTGCAGTCACTCACCCGGTGGGTTGCTCGGTCGCTCACTAGGTCCAATCCTGCGTTTGGAACCCGTGCGTCTGGATTCGCGTGCCTGGATTCCGCGCCCGGGTCCGACCGAGCCCTCCTGTGCAATCCCTCACCAGACGCTGGTTTCGCCCCTTACCGGTCGGGCTGAAGAATTTGTTGTTAACGGACTTCCAAAAAGTTCAATTTTCCGTGTTCTGGTTGTGTTTTCTGATGCTAATATTTAGTTGTCCCTAAACTTGGTTGTGTGAGAAGGCACGGCACATTCACCTATACCTCCATCTTGGCGGAAGTCCTTGTTGGACGTTTTTTGATGGGCAGGTCCAATTGCAGATCTGTGTCCCCGCACGTGCCATCCCCGGTGACCGTCTGGTTGGTGCCAGGCACTGCCCTGGTGCTGGGGCTCCAGAGACAGTGAATCCCACTCCCGCCCTTGAGCACTGGACAGTCTGGGAGGAAAGACAGACGCAGCAACGGGGCACAGAGAGACAGCAGAGCTCGCCCTCTGCCTGGGGGAGTAAGGGGAGCTCCACGAGGGAACGAGACCCACTTGAGAGCAGGGAGATCTCGGCCGCAAGACCGGCAGGGAGCAGCAGGTAGAAGGAAACCCTGTGTAGACAACAGGGACATCTCTGAAAGTTTGAGCCAGGGACTGTCATGATCAGATCGGATGGCTGGAGGAGTAATGGGGGCTCCCAGACAAGAAGGAGTGTGAGCCCACACTTCAGTCTGCATGCACATCACCATTCCCCATACAAACAGCAATGATAGAATTTTTTTAAAACTTCAAGACAGAGCCATACTGAAATATGAGACAGATATACGTGTGGGCAGGGATAGGAGAGCTGCATTTGGCGGCCGCAGGGGAAGGTCTAAGCTCTGTGCTGGGCTCCAGGTGTGGAAATATGCAGAATTGTCTGGAGGATGACTCTTAAACATGGCAATGAGAGCGAGTCGCCTCACCCCAAGGGGGAGCCAAAGCCCAGCTCGGAGCTGAAATCAAGGGCCGGGGAGGACTCCCATGATCTCCAGCTCCAGCCACCACCTCGGGCTGTGGCTTGTGTGAAATCTGTTCTCTGGGGTAGCCAGTGGCAGCAGGGAGCCCCTCACCCAGGCCACGCTGCCCACTGGCTCCATGTCTGGACTTACCGCACCCCTGCATCACCGTGAGACAAAGCCCTGAATCAGCCACGAAAGACTGGACCTGGGCTGAGGGCCCAGGGAAGGCACCCAGCAAACTGCCCTTCAGAGTGGGAAGGAGAGGAAAAAGCAGCTGCTCTGCATGGAACGAACGAGAGGCCCCAGCAGGCTTCCGGAGATCCGGAGGCAGGGAAGAGAAGGTAGAGAAACAGTAGTTTAAAAAATTATGGCTGAGAATTTTCCAGAATGAAACCCAGGAGTCCTTAGGTTGAAAATATTGAGTATAATAAATGAAAATCATGGTGACACTTCAAAAATTCAAAACTTGAAAGAAAACTGAAAAGCAACCCAAGAGAAAAGGCAGATGGTTTGTGAGGGCAGTCGCCTGACAGCGGGCTTCCCGCCACCAACCAAGGATGCTGCCCGGAGATGGGAAGGAAATATTCCCCGGGCACTTGAGGGGAAAAACTGTCAACCAAGGATTTGCACGCATTACTTTGTTAATATTCAAGAGGAAAGGCAAAGGATGCATGACTTCAAACTTTCAAGAGCTGAGAGTCCAAAGCCCACAGGCCCTCACTGAAAGGGCTGCTGGGGGAGAAACACGTGAATGCAGGAGACGGCTGCAAGGTGCAGCTGTGAGCTAAGAAATGGTCCACATCCGTTAGGTCTGAGTCTCCACGACCTGGGAGTGGGGTCTCCCTGGGATGAAGGACTGCTGGGGTGAATCCGAAAAAGTTCTAACATTGTGTTCCCTCTAGTTTCAAAACACCATCACTTGTAGGATAGGCCCTGTTGTACATTTCCATTAAGAAAGAATAGATTTCCAAGATGGGGTGTCTAGTAGGAGACCCCACATAAAAGCCAGAACATTCGGTTTAAGAGCAAGCAAGACATGGACCCACCATGCACAAAGGGCAGCAGGTATGTATCTTGACCTTGGCATTGGGTTAAGCAAAGGGAAAAAGGCCTCACTAGAGAATCTGAACCAGAAGCCAGTACTCCCACAGATTTGCAGCCAAACCCAGGGCGGCCCAGAAACCTCCCACAGGGAAGTTAGTAGGGTGTGTCCTTGGTTTGGTAGTGTCCCCAGGTGACATAGAAGTGAATGCAACTTCTCTCTGAGAGAACTCAGCTTGGTCCAGGCTGACGGTGGTTGTAAGGTGCATCCCACTTTCCGCCAGGAAGCTGGATGGGCTGGGGCTGGAGGCGGTGCAGAAGTGAAGCAGACAGCAACAAAGCGGGGGAAAGCACAATCGGGTTTCCAGAGTTAGGGGTTTCGGCGGGTGCACGCTGGACCTGGGGTCCATGTGAGCGCCTTCTCCCCGCAGGTTCCTCGGGTGGTTGAAAAGATAGTCACTGTCTGAGGGAGTGCACGGCCAAGTCCACGGCCCCCGACTCACGGAGGACCCTAGTCACCAGTACACGCTGTGTCCAGACCTGCTGAGTCAGGATCTCAGGGTTGGGGGTGGATGTGTCTATTTCTTAAAAGTCTAAAAACTGTTGTGTTAGTTTCCTATCATTGTCATAACAAATCACCACAAATGCTGTGGCTTCAAACAACATGGATTTATTCTCTTGAGTTCTGCTCCTCCCGGAGCAGCTGTTCCTGCCCGAGCCAGCGCTAGGCGGCAGCGTCCCTCCTTCCGAAGGCTCTTTCCCATCTCCGCTTCCTGTCACTTGTCTTCTCCTACCTTGACCTCCCTGCCTCCCTCTTAAAGGATTATCTCCCCTTGTCAAAACCACTCACTGAGCACATCTGCAAAGTGCCTCTCGCCATGCAAGGTAACACTCACCGGTCCCAGGGACCAGGGTGCGCCCGTTTTGGGGAGGACATTCCTCAGCCCACCACAGGCACCAGAGACGATTCTGATGAGCGCCTTCGAGGAGGAACCACGGTGAACAGGTAGCCAGACCTAGTGACTAGGTGGCAGGCCACGTGAAAGTCGCGTGCTGTCACATCCGCTTTAGAAGAAGCTTGTGCCTGCTGCCCAAAGCAATTTCAACACAGTGGCTGCTCTCTGTAAACATCCAGTCCCCATGGAAGCACAGAATCTGTCTGGTCAACTCCTCTATCGTCTCCTTGTCCCCCACACACCTAACAGATACATGTGGGGTTCGGCCCAACCCCCTGGCTTAAGGTGAAAACTAGGAAATAACCTGCAGCGTTTCTCTCCTGCGTCCCAGCTGCCGTCAGCCAATCCAGCGGACTTGCAGCCAAATTTGTCATCCACTGTCACATCCCTCAGTGGGGCTCCGACAAATGTGAAGAGCAGCTTGAAGAGACCATCAAAAACTGCCTGTCCGCAGCAGAGGACAAGAAGCTCAAGTCCGTGGCCTTCCCACCTTTCCCCAGTGGCAGGTAAGAGGCGCCTCCCCGAGAGGGCGGGGGAGGCACCGAGTCCAGCTGTCTCCCACTTACTCACATCTGGCCATTCCAGATGACATGACCAAGGCTGCCAGCACAGCCAAGCATGCTGACCAGGTGATGGTGCAAGAAACCCAGCTCCATCCTTCAAAGCCCTCAGAGAGAGGCAGCAGGGAGGAGCGAGAGGCAGGTTCTTTGAGAGTTCAAAGCCCACGTCCCCACCAGCTGCCCCAGTCTAGCACTCATGACCAAAACACAGCTCAGCGGCAGCGACCCCCGCTCCCCATGTTAGAATTCAGAGTCTCAGACCCACCCAACACCCACAGCCTCAGAATCCCTGGACATTCCAGTGGTGCACCCGGGGGCGTGAGGGCCGGGAGGCCAAGGCTCTACTACACACACCCAGAGAAATGAAAGGCTGTCACCTAGGGTTTGCTTTTGGGGGCTAGGAGCTAACAAAACTTGTATGTGCTTTTTCGAAGGCCAGGTATTTGAAATGCTGAATGGTATTTTTAAAACCAAACTTAAGACAGGCTACAGATTCAAGCATAGGGCACCACTCACCAGCCAGCCTCCTGACCTTGGCTAAATTCTGAGTTCGCATGGCACCTGTAAGGCAGGGATGTGGGTCCCCTACTTGGGGCCCCCAGGCTGTCCCTCTGACTAGCGTCAAAGGAGCTCAGGTGTGGACCAGCTGGCACGTGGTGAGACCCCGTGCAACAGAAACCGGGGCCCAGTGCCAAGATACGAAGGGCCCGCATTGCCACCGCCCTGAGCTAAGGCACTTTCTGTGTCCCGGAGACCAGAGTGACACGGGCTCCTCTTTTCCTTTGGCACAGAAACTGCTTCCCCAAACAGACGGCGGCCCAGGTGACCCTCAAAGCCATCTCGGCCCACTTTGACGACTCGAGTGCGTCCTCACTGAAGAACGTCTACTTCCTCCTCTTCGACAGCGAGAGCATCGGCATCTACGTGCAGGAGATGGCCAAGCTCGACACCAAGTAGCCACCGGGGCCCCACTGTCCAGCTGCGGTCGGAGGAGGATCCAAGTCACAGGAGTGGGTTTTATTTTTAAAAGGAGAGAGGAAGGGTGATGCGGGGGAGCGCTGGGCGGCTGAAGGGAAGCGGGCGGCAGAGGCTGCGGGAGCAGGTCCCGCCATGGAAGGAGCCCTCCGCGTTTTATAGTCTTCTTAAAAAGAGCCTCAGTCCTAAAAACCAGGTCTCCACGAGGAGTTCTTTCCATGTGTTTCCTTCCTATTGTTTTAGAACTTTTTTTAAAAACAGACTTCATTTTAGATTTATAGAATTGACTTTTACACACACACAAAAAATCCTTTCAAAATTCTTGAGTCTTGCTTCTCCTTTCTGCACGGGAGGAGGGCGCAGCAGCGCCCCGGGCTTTGCTGGCTGTCAGTACTGAGTGACGGGAGAGGAGCAGTAGAAGGCATCTCACTGGTGCTTATTTTCTGTTTTAGTGCCCCCACCCCCTGGCCCCTATAATATCTGTAACTACTCTTAAAAAGGTTTTGCTTCAGGCTTTTTTCTGTTTTGTTTTGTTTTTTAAAGAAAAAGAAAATGAAAGAAAAAAAATAAAGCATCCAGTGTCTTTCTTACAACATATTCTTTTATTGCAACATTTCGTCAGTTTGGAAAACTGTCCCCATGGGTAGACACGTCTAGAATGTTATAAATAGAACAAGGCCTGTCTCTCACCGGCTGAGAGTCCCGCCATGCGATGCCCCAGGTCAGACAGCACAAAATGGCCTGTATCTCAGGCAGAGGCGGGGCCTGGCCAGCCCCGCTCCACAGGAACGCAGCCCTGGGCGAAGCTCCAGAGGGACTGCCGTGCTTCGGGAGAGAGACACACGTCCCACTCAGGCCCAGGCCACAGCCCCACCGGGATCGACTGAGAACCCCAGTGAGACTGGTGTCCAAGGACTGTGACCAAGTATCCAGAGGCCACCATCAAAAGCAGCAGGGGAGGGGGCAGGTGGGCAGGACAGAACCCAAGTGCATTCAGATGAATTCATCAACCACTCGGATGGCAGAGACTTAACTTCGTGTGGTCCAGAACAGGCTCCCCCGGACTGGAAGGTCTCTCCCAAATAGAGGAGTCATTTATATACCTTAACAGAGTTGGTGGCAGGCGTTATTGCCGCACAGCTGGGTCTCCAGATAAATGGCATCAGGGTTGGCCAAGAAACCAGAAGCACAAAACCAGCAAGGGTCCCCCAGCGTCAGAATTTTGTCACTTAGAAATCTGCCCACGATAGCAGCATGCAGGCACAGGGGGTCACCGCAGAAGCCCCCGTCTGCTCCCTGAATGTGAACCGGACGGCAACCAGCCCTGAGGTCACATGAGCTCGGCTGCCTGCAGGCCCGGCTCCAGTCTGCACTTCTGTTAGCTCTAAGGACTCCCTGTCAGAACGGACTAACCAACAGGGAGATTTTTTTTATCTCCTTCTTTGCAAATGTAACCTATGGTATATAATCAGAATCTAAAATTGGAAATGCAGACGGTTTCATTAAGATGAAAGACAAGAGGGACTACAAGTTTTAAAGTGGGTTCTATTGACAACCTAAGTGTGGCGGGTGGTTCAGAGGCTTCCCCACCCTCGGAACCATGGGGGAGCTGGGGTACAGATCCCCTTCCATAGCCAGGCTCACCTGGCAGGTCCCCCCTTCCTGCCCTTCCAGACAGGCTGCCAGCCGTGAGGAGCCCCAGCTCTGCCCGTGTGCGTTCTGAATGCCACGCCCATGTGCACACACACATGGGCACACACATGCGCACACGCGCACACACATCCAAGGGGAGCCTGTGGTAGACAAGGCCGGCCTTGCCCTCCCGGGGCCAAGTGAAGCACTGGGCCAGCACATGGCAAGCAGACCTTTCCAACCCAGAAAGAATCCTCTAGGGAGGTATCTTTTTAATCTCTCTCTCCCTCTTCATTTTTGGTTTTCTGTAAATTATGTTTCTGGTGACTACATCACTGGCATCTTGCTCCAGGGAAAGTGTCTTTGGCACTTGTCAAGTGGGCACCACTTGTCAAGCAACCCATTCAGCTGGCGACGGTGGTGCCTCTTCTCCAGCCCAGCCTCCTCCTCAGGGCGGAGACTGCCGCATGGTTTTCCAGCTTGTGGAGACGAACAGGTCCCGGCTCTTGACCAGCCGAACCATGAAGCGCCCCACGTAGAAGCCACTGATCTGGCCCACACCATCATTCCTGCCCATGGCCAGGAGGAACGTCAGTGCACCTGTGGAGCAGAGGCGCACGCTGGAACCCGGCTCCGCACCGCGTGGGAGCCTGCAGTCCCCAGACCTGCGGGTTTATTCCCCACGGTTAAAGCGCTCTGTGAGGTGTTTCTGTCAGCAGCTTTGACAGTTTGTTCTAGTGGTCAGTCATCTCAAAGGCTGCACCGTGTCTCACTCCGACTGCGAAGCATGTGGGGCTGCCTTACCTGGCTTGTAGGCTTTGAGGGGCCTCTCTTTCATGGAGTTAACGATGTTGGTCACGGCAATGTTGGCATGGAGGCCGGCGTGATAGGCCATCTTGGGCTCCTTCACATCAGCACAGTCGCCGATGGCATAGATGTGGCTGAAGCCCTCCACCTGGAGGTACTCATTCACCCTCAGGGCGCCATCGCTGGCCAGCTGACTATCTGCCAGGCAAAACCAACAAGAGGTGAAGCCCGAGCTGCCGTGTTAAGTGGCCACCAGAACACGGGAAGAGCAGCTCTGGGGCTGGCTGAGAGGACACCCTCCAGAGGAGAGCCTCCAGCCTCATTCATTTCTGCCTGAAGCCCCCACCTCAGAACTCTTCCTGCAAATGCAGGTTACTCTTCCAGGGTGGAAACCGTCAGACAGCGAGTATCATTTTATGAAATGTGCATAACTCTCTCAGTTACCATGATGACCTTACAGTGCTTAAGTTTGCAACTTGGCCATGTCTTGAATTTTTTTTTGAACATGGATCAGATTTATTAAATAAATGTGGGGTTTTACTAAATAGTAAACTTTTCATTTTAAGGGACTTAAGAGTTTATATTTGAAATATGATATTAAGACAACTCAGTGTAAATTTTGGGGTCTCTGTCCACTATAAGCCTTTAGTCCCACCCCCATGCCTGGCCTGGACTAGCTGCCTTCCACTGGGATTGGATGAGTCTTTTCTGCAGGGCACGAAGTAGGAGCTCCTCGTGCAGGAATGGTACTAGGGAATAAGTGAGGGGAACCTGGGGGCACAGCAACCACGGGGCCTGACAAGGAGACACTGAGTCTCCAGCTCACACATGGAGGCCATCAGCCCACCTGCTCCACCTTCCAGTTACCTAGATGGCTACTGAGCTTTAAGAACACAAAGTCCCAATATGGCCTCTACTCCCCAAATGGTCATTCCAAGCTCAAGTGGCCAAACATCCAGGTCAGAGTTTGGAGAGAGCAGCACACCTGTGAACAGAGAAAGGCCTGACTGCAGAATTTCCTCCACACCCGTGATTCAAGGAAAGGAACAGAAAAATGGATGTTTCATCCCTCTGTTCTCATCTCTCACCACTAGGGGGCGGGCCCTAACTTTGGAAGATTCTGATCACTTCGGACATCTTGGATTAAGTCATCATCATCACAGCTGAAGAAAGGACAGCAACAGTGAACCCAAACCTAAATTTAAAGCAGGGCATCACCATTCAGAAGAGACAAATGAGCTCCAGGGATGGAGGGGGACAATAGGTGCCTATTCCTTGGGAAGGGGCCTGAGGGGCCTTCCTGGCCTTCCTGGACGGCTGGACAGAGAAGAGGCAACCAGGGAAACAGACAATGGCGCGGCCTCCTGCTTACCAAATGCACTGTGGTAGGCAGAGCTGTTGACCTTGATACCGTTGCAGACGATCACCAGGTTGGTGGCCAGCTCCGTGCCTTTGTCTGTCTGTACCTTGATGCATTCTCGATACTCGTTGAAAGGCAGTTTCTCCAGGTTGCACACCCGCTCACCTGTCAAGGGACGAAGATGACCAGGGGGCTGGCAGAAAGCAGACAAGGCTGGGGTCCCAGCCAAGGCTGACCTGGGGAAGGCTGGAGACCCCTGAAGGCCCCAGGAAAGGTCTGGACGCTGTGGCCCAGCTGGGCAATGACTCCACTCCCCGCTTCCCTCTCTGCTCTTCTCCCAGCCCATCCGCTGCCCCAAGAAGCACAATCTGGACACCGGGACCCAGGGGATCCAATGAGAGGACAGTTCCGAGAGGCAGTTTGAGGCTGAGTTTCCCAAGAAGTTCCAGGAAAAGCTGTTTGAGGAACACCTCTCGCATGCCTCCCTGACTCGTCTCTGCCAGCCTGGCCAGGCGGGACAAGCCCCCAGGCACACTGACAAAGATGAGGCCAGGCAAGTTGGGAAGCCAGCCCTGCTCTCCTGGCTGGCTGAAAGGAAAGGTGCTCAGAGTCCAAAGAGCCAGGTTCAAGGAGACCAAGAGCCAGGGTGAGCTTTCAGAGTAAACCCCCACTGCTCCCTGAAAAAGCAGAGGCTGAGCCCCATGAAGTGTGGGGGACACCAGCGGGGCCAGAGCCCCGCTCTCACGCCAGACGGTTCTCTTCCCTCGTGCTCCAGACAAAAGCCACACTCCTCACCACACCCAAAACACAAACCAAACAAACCTATTCTTTCCACCACAGAGATGTCGTAATTCAGGTCAAATCCTTTAGATTTTTTTTTTTTAAGTCATTCAACAACTAGATGCCACCTACACTTTGTCCAAAGCAATAGCCAGGACAGTGCTGCCACAGTGACATGGAAATCCTGTAAGTACTAGGACCTCTGTCCTGCTTGAGGACACACTTCTCCTCCAACCGGACACTCAGCCCCCGGACACAGAGAGAGCTAGGGCACCCTCATACTCCGAGGGGGCCATGACCAAGCCTCTGAGCCCAGTCTCACTCGGGCAGGGAGGGGGCAGGGCCGGAGGGGACTGGCACGTACTCAGCAGCAGCTGCACCCCCTTCTGGAGCAGGATCTCCTTCACTTCCTGCCGGACACAGGGCAGGAGCTCCTTGTCGGCCAGGGCCACCTTGGAGTGAATAAGAGCGACCTGGGGACAAACGACCACACGAGAGAGGAGTCGTCACCTAGTCTTCTGCTCAAAAGCAGCAGCTGAAAAACACATCAGTCTGTCTCCCCCACCTCCTCCCCTGCCCCCAGCTTCCAGGTTCGGGGACAGAGTCAAGTGAACAAGTGCCCACACTGGAACCAGCTAAGGGCAAGCTGGGCTGGGGCCCACATCTCCCGGTCTAGGATTCTCTCAGGATGTGCCCGTGTTCCACAGCCCACACCAAGCACCACATGGAGAATTGTTCTCAGGCATCGCAGGCACTTATGATTGTAGAGTCTTTATGTCAACACTGACATTCCAGCTGTAAGTCAGGACGTTCACATCAAAGCTGGCTCCGACGTCAGCACTCCCAGGCACGCCCGCTCACTGTCTGGGGTGGCGCGGGGCAGTGGGGGCAGCCTGCAATGGTGTCCGAGGCTGGGACTTAGAGATCAGGCCACCTGGGTTGAAATCCCATCTCGGATGCTGGGACATGGCCCGATAACTCAGTAAGACGGGACCACGGTCCCACTCGCAAGTTTTGTAATGATGAAATGAGAAGCGTGTGTACGGCACGAGACTCAGCACAGTGGCTACTATTACTCTTATTTGTCTGCTGATTACCAACATACGGAAGTTACACTGAGTTACTTCCTACTTCAGACTGGTCTTTACCCCATAAATGAAAATTAATGAACTCTTATAATACATCGGTTACTCATAATAATTTCCAACAATTCGTCATAGAACAGCTGTGTAATTAAATTAGCCCACATTGATCTCACTTCTGGAAACCAACCTGCCTTTCCCCAGGGAGAAAGAACCAGCCAGAGGCTCCACGTGTCGCTCACGGGGGGCCATGAGGGGTTCCCCCATGTGGCTGTCCAGGGCAAGGACTACGGTCTCTTCAAGACCAAAAAAGTCACTGCTTGCCCAAGACGTTGACCAAGCTAGTTGTCAGCAAAAAGAGGCAAAGTCTATGTTCAGATCACAAAGCTGAGACACTGAAGGGGACACAGGAGTTACTCTTCTGTAAGTTGTCTCCCCTGAGCTTGATCCTCCTGGTCGGCCCACTGGACACACCCCAGAGCCCCAGAAAAATTCCCAGCAGAAAGGGGCTACAGGGGACCCCTCAGAGCAGAGAGCAGGAGGCGGGAACCACAGGCTCCCACTTTATATGGAGGGAGCTCCACGTCCCAGGCGATGTGCAAGGAAATTCTGACTTTCCCTGTACAACACAGAAAGAGGCCGACCACGAAGAGCTCAAGGCCAAGGCCGCTCGCACACCTCTTTCTCGGGGTATTCTGTCTTAATCTCCGCTGCCATCTCCACTCCTGCCGAGCCTCCGCCCACCACCACGATAGACTCCGAGCGCTGCACCTGGAGCAGAGGCAAATGTAAAAACACTCACTCGAATTCACACCACCTCATGGGTCAGCACTGGGCGGGGGAGTGGGGGCGGGGGACGTCCTTGTCAAAAAGGAGTTAAGAACTCGTTCCAAACCTGGGGTCCAAATGTGCTTCCCTGGGCCTGGCTCCCGCTGGGCGTCCCCCCCACTCTCTCACCTGACTCTCACGGCAGCCGCAGGAGGCCGGTATCGCCGCCCACCCCCGGTAGATGACCGTGGCCCAGGTCTGTCCGAGCTCCAAGCCAGGCCCCTGACCTCTACACTGACATGATCTCCCCATTTCTCTGGAGCTTTGCAGGGAGAGAAGGACCTGGCTTACTCATGTAGCAGCGCTCACCTCCGACCCTTCTCTGGACCTCCGCTCCTCACCAGCTCAGTAGGGACAGACCCGTCCCAGCCCCGCTCAGGTCAGGATGGCTGTGAGAGCTGGCTGAGGTCATGGGTCCCGGCCTACGCTACATCACAAGGCCTGAGGCACCCAGGACCCCCAAGAGGAGCTGGGGACTCACCCATCTCTGTGTGAACAGGTCTGGGCGCTGACACTCAGGCTTTGATGACGGATCCAATGATCTCCTCCCAAGAGTCTCTAACAACGCTCCATCTTTACAGCCACTGCCACACCCCTGAACACCTGCTGGGGCCTCCCTGCTGCGGCTCCCAGTGTCCCCACAGCTGTGCTGCTCTCTAGGGGACCACCTTCCCCGCCCTCACTGCCCTGGCCCGGTCAGGGGCGGCTCGCCTGCTGCACCATGTCCTCGTAGGCCTGAATGGCGTCCCGCTGGCTGGAAGCCTGGTTCAACTTGCCGGGGAACGGCCCAGTGCTGCCAGTGGCCAGGATGAGATGTGAGAAGGGCAGCACCTGCGAGGGGCAAAGGAAAGAAACATGAGGGCAGGCCTGGGTTCTTCACCCAACCCCAGGCCCGTGGGGCAAGGAACGTGGTGGTGAGGCCCCTGGGCATTCTGAGGCAGCCCTCCTCGAAGGGAGCGGAACCATCACAAGGCTACGCCAAGGGGTGGCACTAGAACCCCATAATACCCAAGGAGGCAGACGTCACCTCCTGCCAGAGCCACCCAATGTGGAAATAAGACGGCAAGCTTCCCACAGTGGGCGGGGGTAGGGGGCAGGTAAGCAGGCAACTGCTTGTGGGGAATAAGCAGGGTTCCAGCTTCTGATACAGAATTAATCTAGACTGTCCTAGAAGCACTTTATCTGTCCTTCCATTCTGAATGAAAGCTTTGCTGGATAGAGCAATCTTGGATGTAGGTTCTTGCCTTTCATGACTTGGAATACTTCTTTCCAGCCCCTTCTTGCCTGTGAGGTCTCTTTTGAGAAATCAGCTGACGGTCTGATGGGAACTCCTTTGTAGGTGACTGTCCCCTTATCTCTTGCTGCTTCTAGGATTCTCTCCTTCATTTTAATCTTAGCTAATGTAATTATGATGTGCCTTGGTGTGTTCCTCCTTGGGTCCACCTTCTTTGGGACTCTCTGAGCTTCCTGGACTTCCTAGAAGTCTATTTCCTTTGCCAGATTGGGGAAGTTCTCCTTTATTATTTGTTCAGATAACTTTTCCACTTGTTGCTCTTCCTCTTCTCCTTCTGGTACCCCTATGGCGGCGGTTAGCCAGCCACCTTGTGCACCTCGCTGGGCCCGCCCATTGCCACCCCACACCTGGGGTCTGCCACCACCTGCATGCCCAGGGTCTGCCCACTGCCATCTTGCATGCCTGGGGTCTGAAAGGCACCGCTTTTTTTGCCGTGACCCCTCTCCACCCCTCCTACCAGTCTGGATGAATGTGTCTATTTTAACTCCTTGGTTGTCGGACTTCTATACAGTTCAATTTTCTGTCAGTTCCGGTTGGTTTTTGTTTCTAAATCTTTGTTGTCCTAACATCGGTTGTGCGAGGAGGCACAGTGTGTCTACCCACGCCTCCATCTTGGTCAGAAGTTCCAGACTGTCCTCGTGTTTTAGAAGAAACTGTCCCCTGTGCCCACAGAAGAGGAAGGAAGAAAGGAGGCGGACTGTGTTTGGAGCTCAAATATGCACAGCTGACAAAACCAGTGCTGCTCTGCACGGGGAGGGCCAGGAGGCGGGCGTCCCACTCAGCCCCCACCGAGGCTGAGCTGCCCCCGCGGACCTTCCCAGGGCTCTGAAAAGTCTGGCCTGAACCCACAGAACAAGGCGACGCGGTAAACTCTCCCACCGAGAGTTTCCCCAGCCTTAAAACTAACTGAAGGGGGACTGAGTCCCACTAAATCAACTGAGGACAGAAATTGTGTCCTCTTTTTCCAGTTCCCCCTCAGCTTTGAACAGAATGAAGGGCAAGGCTGGAGGGGACCCTCAGCAGGACGAGCCAGCTGGTGGCAGCTCACGGACGGGGCTCACGTCACTGCAGGTAGCACCGGGTACCGTGTTCCATACCAGGGCTGAGGAGCAGAGAGGAGTGAAGAAAGCCCTGCCCCCACGGCTCCCAGCGTAGGGACCTGGAGTGTGTGCCGACCCTCTGACTCTGCCTTAGCTGCAGGGCCTGGGGCTGGGCCAGGACAGACTTTCAGAGCGTGGGCTCTGGGGTGAAACTGCTGGAGCTAAAATCGCAGCTGAGTGTCTTCCCAGCTGTGGGAGCTGGGCAAGCCACTTACCCTCTCAGCAAAAGGGGCTGCACCACCGCCCACCCCGCCTCGTGGAGTCACGCGCACATTCACGGAGAACACGCCAGGCTTCCGACAGTGCCCCACACACAGCAAAGGCTCAAGCGTGTCTGCACCACACTCCTGTGGCTGCCGCAGTCAGGCCTCTGTGCGTGAGGAAGCTGCTCTCTGCCTGGCACCGGGTCTCCTCCTGCCACCAACCCATCCTCCGGGGTCTCCTGAAGCCAGCTGACACACGGCTCAGCCCCTGCTCACCTGGCCACCCTCCAGCAGCACCGTCCGATTCGTTAGGTCGATCTCAACCACCAGGCCCTGCCGGAAGCTTTCTTTGTAGCTCACTGAGTATGGGATAAACGTCTTTTTGGCAAACCCTGGGGGGCGGACACAGAAGAGGTCACAGTGTAAAACTGGGTGGCCCATGGGGGCCAGAATTACTCAGACCCTCTCCTGAGCTGCACACCAGCAGGGGTCCCTTTGGCCAAACAGCTGGGCCAGTGGTATACCCAGGGCACCCACCACCCCTAAGGTGCCAGACTGGGCCTCGAGCCTTCAGGGAAGCTCTTACTTCTGTGGCCTTGGTATGGTAGCTGCTTAAGATTCTCCAGAATTTGTCTAGTGGTAGAGTACAGGCACCCGGCCCTAAGTCGAGAAAACCACCCCCAGGCCCACAGAGTGCGAAGGTCACTCCCAGCAGGAAAGCCCTGGAAAGAGCCCGTTACCGCTCTCCACGGAGGCCCGGAGGGCTGCCACGTTGTGGTGGAAGGAGTCCTTCACGTCCACCAGCGTGAAGGGGACATTCTGCGCCTGCAGCTGGCTGGCGGCTGCAATTCCACCGAAGCCCCCGCCCACGATCACCACATGCGCACCTCTCACGTCCGTGGACACCTGCGAGCCCATCTCGAACCCGCACTGCAGAGACAGAAGGAGACCACATCAGAGTCAGAAGGGGCACGAGGTTGGGAGGGCAGGAGTGAGCCCACAGCGAGAGAGGCCTCACATACCAAGACTTGGCCCCTTTCCTTTTATAATCATCTATCAAGATTTGAACTGTGAAATCTGGGTGCCAAAAAGACAGAGGTAGCATAACTCCATCCCATCGCCAACCACCTAGTTCTAACCTCCAAGGCCTCCGCTGTTGCTAAGTTCCTGTGGACCCTCCCAGAGAGAGCCTGCGCACCTGCAATCATGATTATTTCTGCACACATTAAACCATCCTGCACTTTCCTCCCCCACTCAATGCATTTGCTCACTCACCCACATAACTCAAAGAGCGCCTGCTCCTTGATGTGCCCTGTGCCATGGCTCCATGGTCAGAAAAAGACAGACAGACAGACTGGTCCCTGCCCTTGTCAAGCACCCAGTGGGAAGCTGGCCAGGGACACAGTAACAGAAATGGTGGGCACAGGTGTGGCGAACAGCAAGCACAGGCCACACCAAAGGAACTAAAACGATTCTTTAAGCCCCACCCTACGTAAACACCGTGACCAGATTCTGCCCACTCATGGGTCACCAGCTTGAGCCCCAGGTCTAAGATCAATTGACAGGTTACGACAACACATCTGCAAAATAGGGTACAGTGTGACCAAGGGCCTGGAGGCGGGGTGGGGAGGAGAGGCCTACAGGGGCAGGCCACTCCCCTGAGCATTCCTGAAAGCGTGGAGGTACACCAGGACTGCTGGGTGACACCCCAGGAGGCATGGGGAAAAAAGAAACATCTGCTGCAAAAATAAACCATTCAGGTAGCAACCTAAGTGCCCATCAGTAAATGAGTAGATGAAAAAACTGCGGTACATTTACATAATGGAATTCTACACAGCAGAAAGAAAGGAGCTCCTACCATTTGCAACAGCATGGATGGAACTGGAGAGCATTATGCTGAGTGAAACAAGCCAGGTGGTGAGGGACAAATACCATATGATCTCACCTTTAACTGGAACCTAATCAAAAAACAAACAAGCAAGCAAAATATAACCAAAGACATTGAAATTAAGAACAAACTGACAGTAACCAGAGGGGAGAGGGGAGGTGATAATGGGGGGAGAGGGGTGAAGGGTTTATAGGAACAATCATAAAGGACATATGGACTAAAACAAGGGGGGTGGAAACAAGGGAGGGAGGTGGGGAGGGCTGGGGTAAAGGGGAGGGGGGAAAAGGCAGAAGACTGTACTCGAACAACAATAAAATTCAAAAGTATTTAATAAAAAAAGGAAGAAAGAATAAAAACGGTGCTGGTTAAAGACTGAGAAGGAACGCCTGCTGGTAAGAAAGACTTCAGGAGAACGCTGAGCACACAGGCCTGGGGGAGGGGGAGCAAGTTCTGCTTGAGCCAGAGACAGGCCAGCTGCCACTGCTGTTAGGTGTCTGCAGAGTGCGCGGGGCCGGGCCTGCCAGCCAAGCGTGCCCCAGGCTCAGGCTCGCACAGGGACGGGTGCAGCCTTGGCCACTTCCCAGCAAACCTGACTCAGTTCCTGACGAGTTAAAATTCAAAACCCGCTGGCCTGGAGCTGGCCACAGGAGGACATCTGAGGCAGAGAACGGCACTGGGCTGGGCCACTAGATGCTGGACTGCTGAGCACAGAGGAAAAAGGAGGTGGCAAAGCTTTCCTGGACTTCCCCAGCCAGCCTGGGAAGCCATCTACCAGGTGCGCCCTCCGAAGGGCCTGGGTCAGCCAGCGCATCCCAGAGTCTGTCCCTTTTGAGGGCTGAGAGGCCTGGGGATGCAGTCAGAGGCCTTGTCCAGCCTATTTTAACCTCTGAGAAGGACACTCATGGCCAGGGCCTCAGGGATCCACGGTGGGAGCAGCCAGCTGAGCAGCAGTTTCCGACGCAGCTGAGGTCCTGTGAACAGTGAGGGTTTGCTGGGAAATGCTGCCTGGAGGCGACAGGCCGGTGAACCTCCTTCTTGCCTGTGCTGGGTTCTAAGGAGAGGCAGAAATAAACCAGGCGGCCTAGGAGAGACACTACAGGAAGAAGCAAAGCTCCCGCTGCACGGAAGACAGCAAGAGAAGCCCCAACAGCTGTGGTGCGCTTCAGGGAGGGGAGATTCACAGTGGGCATGGCAGGGGGTGGCAAGGAAGGAGGGAGTGGAGTCGGGCCAACCTTGAAGGTCAGGGAGCAAGCTGCCCAGAGGCTTGATGTGGAAGTGCGTTCCAGCCCACCTGGGGCCCTCTTGGGCAGCACCGAGAGCTGCTGGAAGACCGCCACTCTGCCCTGCATTGTCTGCATGGCCTGGGGCACAAGCCCTCCCCTCTCTGGGTCTCTATTTACCCCTTGTAATGGGAGGCAACACCCTAAGGTGTCCCTGGACAGATAGTTTCCAAGACACGGTGGCCCCCAAGGTGGTCCCCACAGTTATGGGGGCAGCTTATGGTTGGACCTCCAGGTACCATTCTTGGTGGTCCAGTGCTCACAGCCTAACTCTCTACTGGGGGAGGGAGAAGCTGGCGAGGGAGGCAGAGCAGGCTGGAGGGGATTTAACTTTGTTCCTCACTGACTAAATGGCCCCTAATTCATCTGGGCACGTGCATTCTACCCCTTTCCAGATGAGGACACAGCCCTCATCAGGGCTGGGGCCGGGACAAGTCACATGTTATTTATTATTCTGTTATTACAGAATAATAAAGGCAGTACCACCTTCACCACCCCAGGCCCTCAGAAAGGTTGTCCAGAGGCGGCCCCCTGAGTGGTCCTCAGGCTGAATCTCCAACTGGGCCAGAGAAGGAGAATGTCACCCCGGAGCCTAAACCCAAGAGGCCCCGGGGCAGCTGTGTGAGGGGTAGGTTCATCTGCCCTCCTCGGCACAGCTCCCTCTGGGCCAACCTGCACTTGGGTCCAGCAGCCAGTGAGGTCAGAGAAATTCCCAGGGAGCTCTGCTTCCAAGCCGGCTGGGCACAGGCCCAAGAAAGGGGGTCTATTATGGGTCAGGTCACACTAGACCATGCAGGGAAGCTCAAGAAGTGGCCCTGGACCTTAGAAAATAGCTGGGCCAGAGACCTTCTCCACAGAAGGAACAGCTTGGACCACAAAGTCCAGTGGCAGAAAGAAATGAGCTCAAGGGACAAGGTGGGTTTTGCCAGAAGGGCAGGTGACAGGGGCCAGCACACACAGGGTGCCTGTCACACCAGGGCGGTGTTCGGGCCCACATGCTCACCAGTTCTATCCACCAGGTCTGCCCTGGGCCCCTCACAGGATCCCCTTCCTGGGGAAGATATAAGCCCAGCAGCCCCAGTGCAAGCCTGAGAGGCAGTGAATTGGCCCAGGATCAACTGGCTTCCCCAAAGAGCAAACCCTGGCCTGCCCAACCACACACACCCTCAGTGAAGGCTAACTGCCTCTCTGCAGTGGCGGTGGTGGGTCTGGGGCCTGAGGGTGCACCCGGCCCAGAGGGACTGGTGAGGAGAGGGGAGGTCTGTTTATCCTCCAGTCTGCCTGAGGCCTCTCCTAGAACCAGCTCTTCTCTCCTCTGCTGACCTCTGACCCTCTGACACTCACACTTGGAGACATAGGGCTGGCGGCTCCCCAGCCGATTCCCGCCTCCTCCTCAGCAGCCTCCCTTACACAACACTCTCTTTTTCTTTTAATCCTCGCCAGAGGACATGTTTTACTGATTTTAGAAAGAGGAAGAGAGAGAGAGAAACATCGACCAGCTGCCTCCCATACACACTTCGACCAGGGATCGAATCCGTAGCCTAGGTGTGTGCCATGACTGGGAATCAAACCCACAACCTTTTTGGTGCACAGGACAACGCTCCAACCAAGTGAGCCATCTGGCCTGCGCTAGAATGGGTGAATTTTTCATGGACGTGAAAAGTTTGTCCATGATTTGCCCACGCCCACAGAATGTACAAAACCACGAGTGAATCTAATGTACATTATGGTTTGGTGAGTGTGTGGATGCACGTTCACCAGCTGTAATGACACGCCACTCTGGGGGGCGCTGACAATGGAGGCGGCTGTGCGTGCTTGAGGATGGGGCACGAGAAGGATCTCCACCTTGCCCTCCGTTTTGCTCTCAACCTAAAACTACAACAATGAAGTCCTTAAGAAAAGAAAGTTTGTCCGTGAAAAAGTCAGAGACTAGGACAGCATGGAGAGCCGATCCCTCTTCCGGGCAATCGGACAAGTGTGCCCCGCTACACGTACACACACGTAACAATTACAACAGCCTGCACGTACTGCGCTTTCACCCGCCATCCTTGCATGGGACAGGTGTGAGTTCGCCCCGTTTGGAAAGTCAGTAACTTGCCCAAGTTCAGTCCTCACGGTCTGGGAGACCCGTGCCCTAAACTGAAATTTGGTCCCAGATTTGGTCTCATAGTGGTCAATGTTTTTACTTTGTCCTTTGGGCTTTTTTAAAAATGGTTTGAATATTTTTAAACAAGCGTGCCATTTTTACAGAAATAATAAAGCTGTAACAGGGCAGACCTCCTACCATCTAATTTTTTTAATTGAAATGTTACTCATATAAAATTCACTATTTTAAAGTGTACAACTCGGTGGCTCCTAGTACACTCATAAAGTTGTGCAACCATCACCATGACTTAACACAAGAACATTTTCATCCCCCTAAAGGAGACAAAAACACAAAGGCAGCCCTCAGCCGTCCGACCCCATCCCTCCTCCCTGCAGCCCCTGGCAACGGTGCATCTCTCTGCGGCTGCAGATGTGCCCATTCCACACCCCCTCTGCTTCCTGCCTGGTTTCTTTTACTGGGCATAATGTTTTCAAAATTCATTCAAGCTTTCGCATGTATCACTATTTCCTTCCTTTTTATGACTGAGTAACATTCCATTGGGCAGCTAGGCCACATTTTGTTTATCCATCCATCAGCTGATGTACATTTGGGTTGTTTTCATCTTTTGGCTATTGTGAATAACGCTGCTATGAACGTTTATGCACAAGTTTTTCCGTAAACACGTTTTTAATTCTCTTAAGCACATACCCAGGAATGGAATTGCTCAGTCCTATGGTAACTCTGGGTTTAACTTTTTGAGGAACTGCAAAACATATCACTGACTTTGAACTGAACATTTGCCAAGGGAGAAAGCACCAAGGACCTTAATTAATCTGCCTAGGTTTAGAAAGGTTAGCATAAAAGAAGGTCCAAGAGAACAAATCCTAACTGTCTGGCACTCCCGAGGAAATTCACCTCTGGCCCTCCTCCCCCCACACAAACACAAATCTGGTTTGCACTGGAATTTTCTCAGTAAATCCTGTTTTCTCTACCACAGACACCCAGCCTGAACCCTGGGGGATTCTTCTGCAATAAAACAGAGGCTTTTAGGAATCTACTGAAAAACAAGGAAGTTACATTTATGCCAAAGTTGTAGAGAGGTTAGGCCTCAGAAGACATACAGCAGGAACCACGCGGACTCGGAGCAATGCAAAGACACGGTCCAGGATTGCTTCATAGAGACTATGAATACAAGGCGCAGCTTTCTGAGTCCTCGCTGATGGTGCCCAGGGTGGCTCTCTTCAGCCCTGTCTCCAGAGTGGCCATCCTGGATGAGAGAGCCAGTGGAGTGTGACTCCGAGTACCACAAATGTCCCCTATCCACCTGGAGAGGGAAAGAGACCCTCAACTTCTCTCACTGGACACCAGAGGACAGGTTGAGAGTGGGCTGTCCATGGCCAGTTCCCCTGGGAATACGTGGGGTAAATATAACCCAAGAAGACCAATTTCTGAAAGGGACTCAAAGTTTAACAAAGGGGCTATCGTTTCATGCCCTAGAAGAGGGCAGCTCTGGGCAGACAAGCTCATTCCAGTGCTACACATGCTCCTTGTACAATAACCCAGGCCACGAAACTCGTATCTCCTCCTGGGAGCCGGTCACTTTGTGGTTCCTGTAACACCCCCATGGTCTGTCACCTCCTGTGACTGGCTCCTGCTTTCTTCTCTCACCACCACCCACAGACCACACTGGCCTGGAGTACACCAGCCCCAGTCAGCTGCACCACTTAGCTCTGGGTGGTCCTGATCAAGGCCAGCCCAACTGAGTAGCAGTCTCCCCCTACAAGGGAGGCCCTCCAGATTTGGGGTACACAGTGCCCTTAAGGGGCTTCTCACCAGATGCTGGGGCAAGCATGGGTGGGGTCTGAGAGTATGGGGCTTGCACACGTGCATTCTAGAGCACACACACAAACACTAAAACCCAAGCTGGCCTCCTTGACATATGCCTATTTTACAAGTGACCTTTGAACAAATTACACACCCTCCCCAAACTTGTCGGACCCTCTGTGCTGTGCCTGGTGTCCTGTGAGATAATCAGCGCCCAAGTGCATCTCCCCTCCCCACTCTCTCGGGACATCCAGAGGTCGACACAGGGGCCGTTGCTGGAGGGGAAGATGGGGTATGATTAGTGGGCAGTGCTGGAAGGAAAGTACCCACCATCACCCACTACAAGCAGCTCCTGATGGATTTCAGGGGTCCTGGGCTCCCCCAGCCCCATCAGAGTTAGTTCAGTGCCTGCTGGCCTTTGTCCCTGCAGAACCTGGGGCTTCATGGAGAAAAGTGGATTTCCTAGTGCAACCCAGAGCATGTGAGCTCAGAGTAACCTGGTATTTCTCTCCTAGAGACAGAGGCTTTCTACTTCCCTGGGACACCAGCTTCAGCTGCCAACCAGCGGTGACCCCTGGGGCTGGGGAGGGGTGGGGGTGGGGGGGTGAATGAGGGAGCATATCTTACCTGCGAAGACTTAGCCATAATTTGGGGGTGGGGGGCTCTCGCAGAGAGTAAAGCTCCCTTTTTGTATTTGGGGGAACTGGCACAGCCCCAAGCCCCAGGTCCTAGACCAGCGATTTTCAAACGGTGCGTGGCAAGGATTTTTACAACATGCAATACCTGACTAATTTAGTCAGGGGCACTGACCGCTTTTCCCTTGGATTGTCAAATAAAAAAACAGCCAACACAACAAGAGCCATCTGGTGCGAATGAATCAAAATTATACCTAGTTTCTGTCAGATAAGAAAAACTTTTTGTTGTTGTTGTGCCGCAGAATTTTAATAGTTTGTGTGCCACTAGTTGAAAACGGTTGAAAATCGCTGTCCCAGACGACCGCCCCTTCCTCCCAGGGCCGCAACTCACGCGCACTGACCTCCTAGCTGGCCGTTGGGGGTCGTTTCCGAAGATCCCGAGAGCACGCCCGCGCGCCACCTTACCCTCGGGCAGCCGCCCACCACCGAGTAACTCTGGCCAGCGGCCTGGGTCGCATCCACCCAGAGGGCAGTCCCGGCCACGTGACTTGCGGGACCTTTGGACACGCCCCAGGCGACACGGGTAGCGGGCCCGCCGGGGCCTGGGGGAGGGGGTGGGGGAACGACTGGTGCAGGTGGTCCCCGCCCGCCCTCTGGCGGTGGGAACTGCACCAACCCGTGAAACAGACGATTCCTAAAACAGATGTTGCCTGGCCCGGCACAAGCCCCTTGGACTTCTGTATAAATTTTGGTCCGACTGTCTGCCAGCAGCCACTGGGACTAAATAGGGCGGGCTCCAGGACAGCGGCTCTGCCACCTCGGGCGGATTACCAACCTCCTGCCTTTAAGCATGTAAATAATAATTCCGCAAATCCAGTGGAGCTCCTCTGTATGCCTAGCCCTGTGCTAGGCGCTGGGAGATAAAATGGAAAACAAAATGGGCATGATTTCTGTCTTACGTCGGAGGAGGTGATAAGGAAAGACAACAAAATATATTAAACGTGCATCACTCATTGAAATAAGAGAAGCGGTGGTGGGGAGAGGGGAGGTCAGGCAAAGGAAGCTTGCTAGAGCCTCTCTGCAAGGAAGAGGAAGGAGATAGCCCCGAGCCGAGAGGAGGCTGGGGCGCTCTGGGCTGGGGCGCTCTGGGCGTGCACTCAGAGGCAGGATAAATTGCTCAGGGCAGGGTCACTGCAGCGGCCAGCGTGGGCAGGCCGGTACAAGCCTGTCCTACAGGCCCTGGTGAAGACTGCTGTCATCCTGAGGGCAATGGGATTGGCCTGCAGGATTTTAAGCAAAAGTGGACGCACAAGTTATATTCTGTGGTGAAAGGATGAGGGATCGGCTGGGCGGCCTGAACTGGGGAGTTTGGGGGGGGGGGAGCTTGGACTAAGAATATGTAAAGAAATGGGCTGGTGCAAGCTGCAGCCTGGCAGGAGGATCAAGCGCATTTGGTGACAGGTAAGCCATCTTCTGTTTTGTATAAATATTAGCACCCACCCTAGCAGTTTTGAAAGATTCAGTGAGCCCTGGCCGGTGTGGCTCAGTTGGTTGAGCACTGTCATCATGAAACAAAGACTTGCCATTTGATTCCCAGTCAGGGCACAGGGCTGGGGTGCAGGCTAGTCCCTGGTCAGGGCAAGAACAAGAGGTAACGGGTCAGTGTTTCTCACTCCGATGCTTCCCTCCCATTGCTTCTCCCTCTCTTCCCCTCTCCCTCAAAGTAAATAAAATCTTTCTTTAAAAATTTTAAAAAGAAAAAAAGATTCAGTGAGATTATCTGTGAGAAGCGTTTCAGCGGTGGTGCCTGGCACACGGCAGCGGCAAACACACAGCAGCCGGCTCACCCGAGGCACGTTTATTTATTTCTATAGAGACAGAAAGACACCCACACTTCTACATGAGAGAGAAAAATCGTTTGGGGATCTAACCCCACAACCTAGGTGTGTGCCCTGATTGGGAATCCACCCTGCACCCTTCCAGTGTACGGGACACCACAGGACAATGCTCCAAGTGACCCAGCCACTGGGCCAGGGCCTCAGTGCTCCTTTGAGTACTGTCCTTCGCCTTCCTGGGTTTTCATGGGTGTTTACTCTAGAAGTGGCCCTTCCTGTACCTCTTCCAAAAGCTGTGGTCAAAGACCATGTGTCCAGTGCTGCTGCGTAGGGAGTGTTGGGATCAGTTCCACCTAGAAGTCGGTGTCCAGAACCATCCTGGCTGGGAGAGGGGCCGGTGCGCTCCCATCAGCACCACAGTCTCACTGTTAGCCTGGGAAGCCCAGGATGCAGCTTCCACTTCTCTGAGACCCTTGCCTCTCCTCCTGTCCCAGCTGTGGAGACTCCCATACCTCTCAGTATTCTCCACATCCTTCTCTCAGCGCCGGGGGACCCAAAAGAGCAATGGTGCCACAGTGTGGGTGCAGAGAGCTCCTGGGCCCTGCCTGTCTGAAACCGGCTCCCAGGGACCCATCAGAGCGCTGCGGGTTGGGTTCAGTGCTTCAGTGCAGCCAGCCTTGCATTTGTCCTGGACTTAACAAAGTTCCAAATAGCTTCTGTCTCCTTTTATTCCTCCTGAAACCCCCACAGGAAAGTAGGGTAGGGATTAAACTCGGACACTGAGGAGAACAACAGTCACACTTGACCGGCTAGAGCAGAGACCTCACTCTACTGGACTTTGCGTCCCCAGCACCCAGTTCCCTAGGAGGTCACTGATGTTTGCTCACCGTAAAATTCACTACTACAAAGTGCACAATTTGGTGATATGAAGGCTGTACACCCTTCACCATTATCTAATCCCAGGACCTCACTCCCCACCCCTCCTCCCACCCAGCCCCTAACAACCAGAATGATGCATTTCCGATGACTCAATCCTACCAGAAGTCTAGATAAACAATAGCTAATATTTATTGAAAACAAGCTAAGTGCTTTGAATAGCTTCTCAAATTTAATTTTCACACGCGTCCTGCAAGGTAAATTTTATTAATCTCTACTTCACACATGAGCAAACTGAGGCTCATAAACTGAGAACTTAGGCAAAGTCCCGCAGCCAGTACAGACAAGGGGCTGGGCCTTGAGGTTAATGCAGGAACCCCTCAGCCCGGCACGATTCCTAAGGGTGCCAGGGGTCACTGAGCAGGCAAGAGTCTCAACTGCGAGTCCAGAGAGCCTTGGAAAAGTACTGGGCACATGCCCGGGCCCTGTGGGAGACAGGCGTAAACAGCGCTACAGCCTGCCCTGGGGCTTGGGAAGGTCAAGGAAGAATTCTCGGTAGCTCTGGGCTTTCTTTGGCAGATGAACAGGATTCCAATAGGCAGAGTTGCAAGGGCAGGGCTGTAAAAAAATCACAGCCCAAACCTGAAGCCAGGAGGGAGCAGAGAGAGATATGCAGTGGCCCCACACCAGGCTTGGGCCCTGGCACATCAGAGCTGGTGGCCCATCTCCAAAGACCTACCCCGAACCCACAAAACCAGGGAAGATGTCTGTCATGCAACATCTTGGCAATGAGGTGACACCTCGATCCGAGAAGGGGGTCTTGGTGCGCCCCCTCGAGCACCCTTGCCAAGGCAGTCTGCCCCTCATCTCTCCGCTCTTCCCACTCAACAGTGCCCACAGCGCGGGGACAGAACTTCAGGGCTCCTTGCCTAACAAAGGACTTGTGCCCGAATTTCCAGGAGCCAGAGACAGTAGCAGGACCCGTTTGGTTTGAGAATATCCTGTGAGATCAAACCCCACTGAGAACACGAGACAGAAAAGGTATGTTTCTGTGCCTGGTGTTTGCTTATTACCAATTGGACTCCAAAACCAAAAAGAAAAAACAAAAAGAGTATGATACATACAAGTAAAGAGTTCCTCTCATAGGTCCCATTTATTCCCAAGCCCCAACCAGACACGCTCTAACCACCAACCAGCCCAAGCCTCGCCAAGACTCCTGAGACCCATTATACGGGCTGGGAAAAGTAAGGCACTGTGTCAGAGTGTCCTGCAGGTCAGTGACAGCTGACATATGAAGACCCGGGAGTCCTGACTTCTGAGGACGCTGCCTCCCCATAGGTCAGGAAGAACAGGGAGCTCCCTTTCCTTTGTCTCTGGTCTTCAGAGTGGGGTCTCTCTGCCAAGGTTTTCTGAGGCGGCCCCAGGGCTCTGCCAGCTGTTGACTCAGGCAGAGAGCAAGAGGAGCCAAAGCCCCAGGGAAGCAACGGCTCGGGTGGCCAGTGGCCATGGGGAGACAGAGAAGGGACTCGAAACCAGGGCTGGGCCCGCCTTCCCACCAGCACATCTGTTGTCAGGACCAGGACTGCTGTGCCGGGCTCGGCGGCTGGGCAGTAACAGAGCTGAGACTAGTGCCAGGGGGCAGAGAGAGGTGGGGGCTGAAGAAAGCACCCTGAAACGGGATACTGGCCTGGAGACCCACGGGGCTGGAGTTTGATCCAAGGCCAAACAAGGCAGGTGGTGATGGGGGTCTGCCCAGCCGAGGCGAGCTGAGCCAGGATCCTGGGGCTGCCATCACCTTGGCACTTCCCAGGCATACAATGGTTACTCCTCTCTCCCAAGGGTGACACAGATTCAGAGCTTGCTCCGAGGGGTCTCAGCAAGGGGCCGCTGCAGTCGCCACACCACCCTCACGGGCTCGGCAACATGGTCCAGCTCTTGGAGGCCGCCCAGGTCACCCGTCTGACTGTAGCGCTGCAGGGCTGGCTGGAGCACTGTGATGGGAATGCTGAAGTTCAGGTGTGGGTAGGTGGCCCCCGTGTTATTGTCCCGGGTGTTGCTGGCAACAATGCCTGTTGAGGAGTCAGAGAGGAAAAGGGGCTGTGAGCCAGGACACAGACAGGTGGGAAAGGAGGCCCATCTCCATTATGGAGGCCCTAGGCCTACTGGGGATCTAAAGGCCCCTCACGGTGACAGATGCCAGGCTTTCTTTCGTGGATACCAGCTCCCCAAACCCTGGTCCCCCTTCCTGCCTTAAAATTCCCAACACTATCAGTATCTAACACACTATGTTTCACTTATTTTGTTACCTTTCTCTCTAACTAGTGTCAGGTTCACAAAGGCAGGGCTTCCGTGTTTTGTTCACACAGCCTCCCCACATCCACAGCAGTGCCCAGCACAGAGGAGGCCTCATAAACACTTGCTGAGTGGACGCAGAAATGAATCAAACCCAGACACATTCTGTTTGTCCCGCTTAGCGTGTCTCTGTGTGCGCACGTGTACGCATTCATTTTTCAGACAACTTTAGACGTACAGAAGCCTGGCCAAATAGTACAGAGTTCCTGCAGATCCTTTACCCAGCTTTCCCTTCTGTTAACATCTTATGTCACCATAAAACATTGATCAAAACTGACGAATTAACCAATGCCATTAACTAAAGCACAGAACTCACTTGGATTTCTCCAGTGTTTCCACTAGTGCCCTTTTTCTGTCCTAGGAGGTAATGCAGTAACCCACAGGCCATTCAGTTGTTGCGTCTCCTAAGTCTCCAGTCTGGGCCAGTTGCAGTCTTTATCTTTTGTGGCCCTCACACTGGGAAGAATAGTTATTTTGGTCATCTCCCAGGTTGCCCCCCCATAACTACTATTTCCCCCTGTGTAAATCACCCACTATTTTAGAGTTAGGCAAATATCCTGTTTCTATCTAAACTCTTATCCACGGACTTTAGCATCCATTGGTGGATTCTGTCTGTACCAATTCCCACTGTGGTAAACCCAAGGGTAATTTTCTGTTCCCCTCACTTCTGCATTTATTAATTAGATATCTTCTGTAAGAAAGAGTGGTTGCTTGTCTCCATTTCAAAATTTGTCTGGTTATTTACTTGTAGCACTGTGGACATGTGGACATTCATTCTTCTCTTTGGGTTATAATCCAGTCCTATTGCTATTTGTTTTGTTGCTCAAGTCGTTCCAACGGGAGTTCCTTCAAGTTGGCTCTTGGTTCTTTCAGCGTTCGACAGACCCAGTCATTTCACTGTTCTACTTCCTTGTTGGGAGCCGACCAGCAGCTGTCCCTTGACACAGTCGGGACGGATGAGATGTATCTGCACAGCAGAGGCAGCTGTGGCTGGATTTCCTGTCTATCTCTCCTTGCATGTTTGTTTTTGCAATTAATAGGTGGTGGGATTTTTAGACATCTGAATTTCAGGCCCATTGATTTGCATAATTCCAATGAAGTCGTACAAAATAATTTCTTGGCCAGGGAACAAATTCCCCCATTATGAGGTAGCCCCTGAATATCTAAAAATTGATGGTGTAACAGCCCCTCCTCTACCTTGGACAGGAATAGAATTAGACAGATAAGAAAAGCAGGACAGCAACAGCTCTATTCACACAGCTGGCTCTAATTGTCTGATTAATGACTCTCCTGGTCAAAATAACCTTTAACATAACTTCATGCCATGCACCTGCTCCTTCAATGTTATGTATCAATTCTATAAAAATAAAGTTTAAATCAAACTCTGAGAGTTCAGTCCGACCCACAGACGCTGGCTGTTCTCCAGCATCCAACCAGGTGTCTGACTCTTCATTTGTCACCTGTGCCATCCATCCTTCGGGGACAGTGAGACCTGCCGAGGCTGGACTCCGGCACTTCCTTCCTTTCCAGCACAAGGTGCTCCAGCTCAGCTTGGACTTTCCATGTCCCTGTCCTGGTATCAACCAGTTCTCAGTTCCTTTTATTCAAGAATGGTTCTTAGAAACCAAGATCTGGGTTCTTGGTGTGCTCATTGCAACTGAGTTGTCACAGCAGATGAAGCTAGGATATATATATTTATATTTATATTTATATATTTATATTAACTTATACATACACACATATATATTATTTCTGTATGCACTTATCTGTATATATTTTTTAAAGTCACAGTTGGTTGACTTTATTTGTATACTACAGTTGAAGAAATAAGTAAATCAATTGTAGCTGGCAAGAGCAAGATCTCTTGCAGTGGGAGAGAGCAATCAGAAATGAGAGGAGGGGAAGCACGCATGAGCCCCCGCGTGCTGGGCTACCATTGGGCAGTGCAGGTATCCATACAGATTCATGTTCGCAGTTTTTTTTTAAATAGACCTTCCTTTTGGGAAAAAAAACCTGAATGAGTTACAAAAATTTAAAAATTGATTTAACCACTATATATATATATATATATAAAAAAAAAATATATATATATATATATATTTTTTTTTTTTAAAGAAGACGAAGAAGAGGGTTCACAGCTTCCCATGAAAGACTGGAGATCAGCCAGTGTTAGCTCACATTCCTTCATAATGTGGCAGCAATGGGATGGAACTGAGCGATGCTCACCCCAGTCCACCTCGACCCTCCACTCCATACTGTCTTCACTCACTCATCTGTTCCCTTTCCCTGCCCAGCCTCTGTGAGCTTTGGAGTTTGTGACCCTTGGACTAATCCAGCTCCCGAGTTTCACAGATTGAATGAGGTGAAGTGATTTACCTAAGACCACACTGTGGCTTAGTGGCAGAGGAGGAACCAGAACCCGCCTCTCTTCCCCTGCAGCTCAGCATCCATCACCTTTCACCCTCAGAAGTAGACTAGCCTGAGAACCTTGGCCAACTGCTTCCTGGGCATAAAGGCACCATCCTCCCACACAGGGGTGGACACCAAGCACTTGCTAGACAGGACTGAGGGTCTGGCAAAGGGAAGCCTGGGAGAGGACCAAGCAGCTGCTTACCCAGAAGGTCCCCTGAGGAGGTAGAGAAGAGAGGTCCGCCACTGGAGCCACCATGCACAGCACATGTGGTCTGCAGCATCACTGGTGTGTCATCCACCCGCACCACAGCTGACAGGATGCCTGAGGTCACTGAGGGCCCGCAAGCCTGGCCAAAAACGCCAAAACCCACCACGCTGACGGCCTCACCTGCCAGAGAAGAAAAGAGGATGAAATTGCAAAGCCTCCTCTGTCTGGCAGGACTCATCCTCCCCCACGCCATCCCTGCCCTCTCCAAAGTCCCCAGCACTCCGCTTTTTGAGGTTCTGCTCAGATACCTCTGCCCTCAGAGAGCCCTCCCTAAGTCCCCACAGGAAGAGGCAGGGCCTCCACTAAGCTCCCAGCACTGTGCCTGCTCAACTGCTGCTCAGCGCCAGGCTCTTTCCCAGCCCTCTGTCCCCTGCTAACTGGGGAGTCACCTTTTGGTGTTCCTAGAACCTAGCTAGGTGCTCAACAAATGTTTTTAGAATTAACATCCATCTCCTCCTGGGACTAAGAAGTCTCTTGGTGAAAAAAATGGTGATGATGATTACGAAACCTTCCTTTACCAAGGGTTTGAATGTACAGGGCATAGGGCTGAGTGCTTTCCAGGCAACATCCCAGCCACGCCTCACAACACCCAGGAGTAGGACCCAATCCCCAGTTCCACATGTGGAACCTGAGACAGAGTGCATCAAGTCGCCTGTGTGAGGACACAAGACTAGCAAGTGGCAGAAGAGACGCCAGCTCAGAGAGCGTGTGCTCTTTGTAGTTACGTCACACTGCGTGCACAGAGGGAGACCTCTGGTGCTTCTGCGGCAGCATCGCAAACCTGTTATTCAAATCACGCCACTGTGGCCTTGAAAGAGTAACATCCCTCTGACCAGCCTGCAGTGTTAGAAGGAGCCCTCAAGGCTCGGCACCTCCCTGCTACACTGCTGCAGGAAAGGGACACGTCTTACCCACAGCTGGGGATTCCACCTGTCTCTTGACACCGTGCGCACATGGGGCGCAAGAAGGGAAGCCTCCAAGCACATCTCTGGCCAAAGCACTGTAACCAGGATGATTTCCTGCCAGCTTGATGCCACCCTGACTTACTAGTCCAGCAGGAGTGGGAGGGGAGTTGGCCTGGGGAACTGGTTCCCTGATGTGCAGGGTTAGAGTGTCCAACACTGACTTTCCTCCCAAAGGTCCACCCTGGATCAGAGGGCCCCTGTCCTTTACCTTCATGGAAGTGCTCAGTGGGCACAGGCACGTGGACACCCTCTAGTTCTTTCTCCAGGCTCACCACTGCTATGTCATACGGAGATGTCTCCTGAGTGGCAAACACCACGTGTCCCCAGATCTTGGAGCTCCTGGGAGCAAGGGAAATAAAATGACAGGCTAGATTTCTGGCTCTTTAGTACTGGGAGGAAGCAAGGGCATGGGCGACAGTAAAAGTCATGGGCTTGGGAGTCAAAAGATCTGGTCTCAGGCCTGAAACCTACTGGGCCGACAGCTCCGGGCAGGTCATTTAACCATTCTGCAGTCTTTCCAAATGTGATTTACCAACTGCAAAGCTTCATGGCACATCACCACGACCATAAAGATCTGATACCTAGTGAGCACTGTGGGCCAGGCCCTGTGTTAACACTCTATGAACATCATTCATTCAGTCCTCACAGCTTCCCTATGAACTAGGTAGTGACATTATCTCCACTTTAGATCATGTATTTGAGACCCAGAGAGGTAAAATAACTTGCCCAAGATCACATAATAAGTGGTAGGAGCCAGAGCAAACATGCCCAGCATTTTCCTTCACTACTTCATTGGATATGGACAGTCCTGTCAATCAGTGGATCAGGCATGATGATTTCACCCCTCTGGGTCCTCGTTCACATAAATGCTAGCCCTTCTACAGCACTTACTATGTGCAGGCTGTTTCAAGACTTCACATGTCAGCTCAAGATGAGGCAGCTTAGACAGATTAAGTGACTTGCCCAAGGTCAGCAGGGCTCCCTGCTGCACACTCTGCCTGGGTAGCTTCCCGTAGACCTGATGGTTTTCTTAGGGCCAAGAGTGGGGTGGAGGGTGAGGTATCTGGGACCACGCAGACAAGGAAATTCTCATCAGTCATGGCTGTCCTGTTAGCTGCCAGTGGCTACCTCCATGGCAAAGCCAGGCTGGGTTAACTTCAGACGTTCAGCAAAAGGGTTTTGAAAGGCCTGGGCTGCCAGGCCGCATTGAGCCAGGTACAAGAGATTGTCAGGGATTAAGGTGGTATCTGCTGCTTGGTTTTGGCCTCAGTGAAGTACCTGAAACTACAAAGGAAATAGAAAGAACATGTACTAGAAAATCAACTAGTAAGCTAAGGCTGCTGTTCCCATCATCAGAGCAAGTGGAAGGAGGGCAAGAGTGCCCTTCCCTACAGAGAGGGAACAAATGATTACCTAAAAGTCCCAACCTGGCTATCCACCAGGATCACCCAGATAGATCAAAACCTATGTGCCTGGGCCCCCCTCCCACAGTCTAATGATTTGGAACTCCACAGCTATACTTTTGATACAGATGGAAAACACTGGTTAAGATCTACAAGATAAATAAGAGGAACAGGCTCAACTCATCATCCATGGAGAACAGCATCCTGGCCCCCTGGGACTTCACTACCACTATCAGGGGAATGGAGGGGCATAGTTAGTAAGTCCCCATTCCAAGGACCTAGTGATGGGTGCGTGCAGGGGTATGGACTGAGAGGTTGCACAGAAGGAAGTCAGACTGGGAGAGGGAGGTCAAAGATGCCCAGGCAGGGATGCAGGTGTGCCCCATAATTCCCAAATCCAGAGTTACTTGGCATCTTGCCCAAGCCCCATTCAGTCCCTGCCAAGAGGCCCAGAATCCCCAACACTGGGGTACTGGGTACCAAGGATGGGGGGAGAAGAGGATTTCAAATTATCAGCGTGATGCTAAAAGGCCTCCATCATCTTGAGGATTAAGACAGGAGACGTCAAATCCAGACCTCCGACCTAGTGAGGGGTTCAAGTGGGACCATGCCTGAGGGTCTTACTTGGGGATGGTGGGGCACACTAGGACTCTGGCCATCTTGCAGGGTGCCACATGCCGACAGGTCACCACGAGGCGGGGTGCCATGACCACTCCGGAGCCCCAGACGGTGCCACACTCCACCAGCACAGCTGCGGCTACCCACGGGAGTCCGGGCTCTGGGAGTGGCAGGGCCCACGGGGCGCCCAACTCGGGGGGTAGGAGAGCGGCGAGGGAAGCTGTGCTAGGGCGCAGGGAACGGAGAGCGTCACGGGCGGCGCGGAGGAGAGGTGCAGCAGCGCAGAGCAGTGTGAGGCCCACCCACTCGTGGGCCTTCCAGCAGAGGGGCGCCGCCACCAGCGCCACCAGTGCCCCCGCAGGTCTCACCGTGAACACGCCGCCACCCTCTGTCCCCGGCAGGCAGCGTGCATCCGTGAGCAGTAGCGGGCCCGCAGTGTTGCTGAGCACGCCACGGCTGAGCGTATTGAGAAAGATGTCCGGGCAGAAGGACCCAAACGGGGTGCCACAGGCCAGCAGCGGAGTGCCCTTGGACAGGGCCCCGAGAGGCACCACGGCCACAGCTGGCCCACGCATGTCCGCCTCCTCCTCCAGGCCGTGCCTCACACGCAGCAGCGCGAACCAGCCCAGCGCTCTCAGCTGATCCTCCTCCTCATCCTCTGACACTTCCTCCTCCCTTGCTGCACTCGAAAAGCGCCACTGCTCGGCCGCCTCGCTTCCGCTCCCGAAGAGGCACGCGAAGTGGGCCCGGAAGTCCGGGCAGCTCAGCAGCAGCAACAAATCGGCAGGATGAGGGGACTCCAGGGGCCGGCTACGGTGCCGGGCCGGGGGACTGGGTTCCAGGCCTGCGCACTGGGGCATGCATAACCCAAGGCGGCCCCACTCCACGCGGCCTGCGGGACTCGCGGCCGTTGGGCCCCACTGCACGTGCAGGCACAGGTCATCCCCGCAACTGTCGCCAGGCAGGATGGTGGCATCGGCCTGAGTCAGCACCCTGCTGCCAGCCCGCAGAAAAGGGGTTAAGATGCCGCCATGGCAAAGCACTAGGCCCAGACTTCGGCTCAGGATCACCCCACTGCAGCTCCACGAGCCAGCCTCGGGCTGCCCGGCCCGAGAGGCGCTCACCACACAGCCCGCTTGCTCGCCTAGCCTCGTGGCAGGTTCCCATTGTCGCCTCATGCCTCTAGGACCTGCGCCCAGACTTCCAAAACTACAGAACCAGCGAGAAACCGATGGCCACCCGTGAACCCCACACTGCGCCACCCCGAGGTGGCAGCCAGAGGCGCAATCACAGACTCCAGTCTTTCTCGTCCGGCCGATTGGCTAAACCCAACTAGCGTGATTGGCTGGATAGGAGTCCAAGCTCTGATTGGCTGCTGAGACTAAGCCCTCCCTCCTTTCCCCGCCCCTGTCGGTTAACGCCACTTGAGCGTTAGAGGACGCAGCAATCCCCTACGATGAGCCCCAGGGGAGTAACGGGCGTGTTCGACTTCACGTATGTGTATGTATATATATGTATGTGTGTGTGTGTGTGTGTGTGCGTGTGCTAGCGTGGCTAGACTTGCCCAGGCCATGACAGCAGCTGTCAGCATCTGCCTAGCTCTAGGTGACATTCGACCTCTGACGGGATAATACCGCAAAGAAATCCTCGGCCATTTCAATCTTTAACTTTTATGTAAACCCTACAACAACTCACTAGGGAACATGGAACTTACGATTGCAGCCTCCGGTCTTTTGAGGCCAAAGCTCAACACGACAAATCCCATGAAACCTGGATTAGCTCCAAATAAAATTACCTTTTAAAATGGACTATGACAATGGTTGAAGTAAAATTTTTTAATTATACAAGCCTATCTTTTGCAGCATGCACATATCACATAATGACTGCCCTGCCCCCAATATTTATCTGGGTCAGGGGTCAAATGCTTTTTCTTTCCAAAGAGTCAGAGTGTAGTTTAGTTTTTACTGGCCACGCATTGTCATAAATACTCAAATCTGCAGTTGTAGCATGCAAAAGAGGAAGGAATGGGGTGGCTGTGTTCATAACTAAACTTAATGGACACTAAAATTTGAATTTCATTATAATTTTTATGTCACAAAATAACATTTTTCCCCTCGAAGGCCATAAAGAGCAAACCAGATTCAGCCCAGGAGCTATAGTTTGCCATCCCTGATGTAAGCGAACATGAAATATCCCTACTTTTCCAGAGTTCTCCTTGAGTACAGAGGAGTTCTGAGTATGTTTTGAAGGGCTTTGGGATATCCCCAAAGTGGTCAGCACAAGACAGACATTTAGCACCATATCACTAAAATACACACTTCGGTAATATTATTTTAGTACATATTTGTCAGCATTAATGAAAACTATTCAACTACTGGAACTATACTACATTTCTGCCTCCCATTTTTGAATTAACCTAATGCTGGTTGACCTGGCACCAGCACAGCACAGCGTAACTCTGTGTTCCCAGTACCAGACCTGGGTGAGAACAGGAAATGATCATCCATTTTAGCAGGAGAGAAATGAGCAGTTCCCAGAGCAAGCACTGTTTGTTTTGTGTTTGTTTTGGATCTGTGACACAGATGGCTGGAGCGCAGTGAACTCTCTCAATTATCCCAACTACCTAGCAATTAAGGGGTTCCTTTCTCTCTGGAGTCCACTGATTCTCCCTTAGTGACGCTCAAACCTCCAGAATGATGTATGTCAGGTTTTTCTGTTTATGGCACATTACACCATAAAGTCCCAAGTCAAGGCCAACAGCCAAGGTGAGGCCCCCTTGAGTACTGGGCTCATTGACACAGCTGTTCTCATGTTCCACTCCAACTCAAGCAACACAAATGCATATGAACACGGAACCATGGCTTCCTTTCACAGTAACATGGACATTAGTTTCAATCACAGGACATCTCCAGTAATCTTTTTTTAAAAAAATATTTATTTATTTTTCGAGAGAGGGGAAGGGAAGGAGAAAGAATGGGAGATAAATATCAATGTATGGTTGCCTCTCATGCGTCCCCTGCTGGGAACTGGCCTGCAACCCAGGCATGTGCCCTGACTGAAAATCAAACCATAATACTCTGGTTCACAGGCCGCGCTCAATCCACTGAGCTACGCCAGCCTCCAGTAATCTTAATACTTAGTCAAAAATAACCTGTTACATTTTGCTTCCTGTTCTTTTGGGTTGGCCAAAGTGTTTAGTTTTCTCCATATGATGGCTCTAGCAGTGCTTAGTTATCTTTGACTTCATTCAAAACAATTTTGTTAGATTGTATTGTGACAGCTGTCATGTCAGCATGCATTAAAAAAAAACATCAAAATTGGTGAAATTTTGTGCATTTTAAAACTGAATGTTAATACTGAAGATAGAAGAAAATAACACATTTTCAGCATATTACGTTTTATTATCTCAACAAAGGTAAAAACACAACTAAAACAAAGATTTGTGCAGTGTATGGGGAAGGTGCTGTAAGTGATCGTATGTGTCAAAAGTGCAGGATTTCTTTGGTATTATTGACATTTTGGCCAAATAATCCTTTGCCATGGGGCTGGTCTTATGCATGGAAAGATGTTTAGCAGCACCCCTGGCCTCCACCCACTAGAAGCCAATAGGAGTTAGCCAACATACTCAAAAAATATCCAAATCAATAGTTATCGGTGAAAATGAAAAATTTTCAGAAAAATCTCATTTTACAGAAAAAACTAAAGACTTTTTAGCACTTCAGTTTTTGTCCCAGTACTTTAATCTCACTTGGGATCTCCTAAAAGCAGGTCTTCCAACTAGCCTAGTGAATACACAAGCACAAGTTTCATTCCTTCTATTTTGCCAAATGTAGCATTCAGCTGACTCTCTCCAGTTTTGTAGAAAACAATGAAACACAGCTAAAGTGGATCCAGTCCTTGCTAGCACATTAATATCAGATTTTCTTCAGAAGTCTTCCCTGTCTGCCCCATCATAGGGATGACCACCAGTATAGGGGACCATTCCGCATGGCATGGGAATGTAGCCCAGCCCCCACTTGGAAAGGCCAGTGGGGAGCCAGGCCCAGCACACAGGAGTCAGGCCCACAAGTAGGTTTTCCTGTGGGGAATCAGGCCTGCATTGTACCTAGGTTGCTATGGGACTTGCTTTTGCTAAAACTCTCTCACCCTGCATTGAAGCAACAAATGCTTATGGCCTATCTCTAAAGCAACTTCTTACGATCAGTGCTAAACCTCCCAAGTATGGAGTGTAACCAGTTCAACTACTTCTCCCCTTGATCTGTAACATCCTTCTCTTTGAAGTAATTAGCAACATTGTTTCCTTTGTTATCTGTAAAAGGTAATCACATAAATCAAACCTGTGGGTAGTAAATGAGGACCATCCTCAAGTGATGTACCAAGATTTAAGTCTCTCACACCAATAGTGTCTATTTCTTCCCATAAATAGAAAATTTTTCTGGCTTTTCCCAGCACAACAAATGTCATGATGTGCTGAAACTCAAAACAGCCCAATGCAAAAAGAAAAAAAAAGAGAGCAAGACAGCAACTTTTTTTTAACTTTTTATTAAAATGCTTAGGCTACAGACTGACTTTCTTTTGTAACTGACTGTTTACTCTTCCTGAAATAGGACGTATACACACTCTGATAAAACAGAATGGAAAGTCTCAGTCCATGGGAGTTCCTGTACAAGCTCTGATCCTGTTAGAGGCCGAGCTCCTCATGGCAGCTGCTTTCTACTCTGTTATTATGGGAAAAGTGTTTTATGTGGGGCAAGAAACAGACCGGTGCTACTTGACTTTTCAATCCCCTCTTTCTCCAGTGGCCAAAACAAACCACTTTCACAAAGAGCTGCTCTGCATAGAATCCAGAGATTTCTGGATTCTACGAAGAGATTAAAGGAACACAGAAAAGAAGAAAAACAAGAAAACTAACAGTGAAGCAATCATACTTCTCATGTCTCTGGATAGGAAAATATGGGTTACCTTTAGCCAAAGTAAATGAAAAGTATGCAAGTTAACTAATTCATGGTTAGACAGACTTGTTCACTTAAGGCTTTAACCCCTTTCCAAACCAGCAACGATCTTAATCCAGCTACGCTTGCTCATAAATGAAAGCCATGCTCACTCCAGACTCATAGTCCACTGAGCCTCTGCATTTGGTACAAGCCTCTGCATATGAAAAAATATGCTTGCCTAATAGTACTGAAGATGCTGCTAACAATAAGAAATGCAACTAAAGAATACTCTCTCACTCCAAAAATATGTTACGTACACTTTCCCTTCCCTCGCGTTATAAGCAAGAATCCACTGAATTCAATCATCTGCAAAATAAGCACCATCATCACAATTTTCAATTTGGAGGAAACTACTTCTGATTTTTCATTAAAGAAAAAAATGAACAAAGATGTCCCCCCATCTTTAAACCACCTCCAATCCTATCACTTTTACTGCAAGGGTAGAAAATTGGTTAAGATCATGAAAACCCAATTTCACACATGGCATTAAGAAAATGGAAAGCTATAAAAATAATCCTCATCATACTCCTGAGGACGTGGTGGTTTCTGTACCGACTGCTGACTGACGGTAAGTGATCCTGGCTCAAAAGCAACAGCTCTGCACAGTTTTTGGGTTAGTTTCCCCAGCTTAGGGAGAAAGACAATTTCATACAAAAAAATCTGGAAAAGCTACAGATGTTAACCTTTCAATACAAAAAAAAAACAAAAAACAAAAAAACCCCCAAAACAAACAAAAAAAACCCCTGATATCTAATTAGAAAAAGAAAAAGCTCATGAACAGTCCAATAAAGAGATCAAATTCTGCCAGTGGAAAATTTAAAGTCTACTGAGTAAATCTTTCTTAGATTCAACCAAATGCTACAATACCAGATTTTTAAGTTCTCAAATCACGAAATTAAGAGCCCTTAAGCTGTTAACTTTATCCTGTATGACTCTCCTATTCAGAAAAATCCCCCAAATCTGTGCAAAAGTCACCGACACACCAGCAGTACATGACGACACAAGAGATGTCCTCAAGGCTTGCATGAGGCGGAAGTCACTTTGGATAACCGAACATGAAAAAGGCGCTACAAAGACAACTAACACTTCACAACAGCTCATTAAAAGCAAAGACTGGCTGAAACTTATAACTTTATAAGTAATAATAATAATAATAATAATAACCGACTCTGTAATTAACTCTTCTGCATGAACGATCTCCTATCCACTCCATGATGAGGAACAACCCTCGCTCGCCACAGTGGAAACTGCTGCACCTGCAAGGCCGGGGCTCCGCCCTCCCCTGCTCTGTGCACAAGGCGCTGCCACCTGCCACAGGGCAGTCAGACAGGCAGCGGGGCTTCTCTCCCCAGCCTGCTGACTCCACAGGACTGGGTTCACTTGACTGAGCTCTAGCCTCCAACAGGTATCTGTGCATAATTTTATGAAGTATCTATATGCCATTCACTAGATTAAAAAAAAAAAGGAATAGAAAACTCTGGACCAAGGAAATTACAAACTGAAAAAGTTAGAAGGGAAACCAATTACATTAACAACACTTTCTTTAAAAAATAGAATCACTTTCTTTTGAAATCAACCGCAGTGGTGAGACGTGTTTTTCTGTGCAGGTGTCCCATGATGGCACGCAGCGTTCCCCAGTAAATCCTACTTCCAAGTCTCAGGGTGCCGACCTGCACCCACGTACGGGGCGGCATTACCTCCCAACAGAGTGGAAAGAGCACGCGTCACCACTGGGCGCTGAGAGAGCTGACAGAGACTCTTGGCTTCTCAACGCCAGACATGGTTGTGGAGAGCTTTCCTTGTTCTATTAGAAAAGTTCATGAGGAAGCTGTGAATAGGATCAGTCCAGAGAAGTAAAACTCTTTTATTTTCACTGTCCAAACATCAGTCAATGTACTGAGAGAGCCAGCGGAAGCCCTCGCCGTAGCCTTGCCTCTTGAGCACGCTGCACATGAACACTTCCATGGGGCGGGCGTTCAGCTCCTTCAGGGTCACATTGCCCTAGAGAGACAAAAACCAAGAAAGGCCTGTGAACAACTTCATGAGGACAAAGTATGAAAGGGTGATCACAAAGACCACTTTCCTCATCCTTCCAAAGCAAATCTAAGAAGGGATTAATTACAAAAATGTGGTCATGGCAATACAGATACCTTCCCCAGGGCTTCATGCCTGCAGGACAGCACAGTCCTAGTCCCAGCCGCTCTCTGTATGAAGAGCATTTGCTTTGGACACACCCACACTCACTGGCCAGCTAAGGCAGCAAACTGAGAAAAAGGCCGCTGCGACCCATAGAACCAGCACGGTCTTTGATGGACAAAAGGGGTCTGGGACTTTTTAGAAATAAAGATATTCTCACTGATACAAACATTCAGAAACATATGCTAATAGCAGATTATACTGAAGAAATTAAGAATTCATGTGTGTGTAATACTCATGAAGAATAAGGGAAACTGAACAAATTAAAGAAAGCATTTCTGGGAAGAAAGAGATAACCAAGAGCCAAGACTGAGGAACTATGTAAAAAAGTTTTCAAAACCTGTGAATTTCCTTCGTAGTATGTCCCCTGACGATTTTTCTCTTACCTTTCCTGTGGTCTGCCCATAAAGCCCAAATATCTCACGGAGTTTTTCTTCACTGATTGCATCTGATCTGTCAATTTTGTTACCCAAGATAAGGATTGGCACATTGGATATTGTTTCATCAGTCATTAAAGCCTAAAGAGAAGATTTTTTAAAAAGTAAGTGATAAATCTATAAAAGCCCACCAGATCATGAAAATCACTGACTTTCACTATAACACAGGTGTCAAACACAAAGCCCACGAGCCGAATCCAGCCCTCCACCTTGTTTTATCTGGCCCGGCACCTTGTTTCTACCCGGTGACAGCGCTGAACTCTCACTTAACAGTTAAGGAGCAGTTAAATGTATACAGTCCTAAAATTACATCCAGTCCTTTGAAGGCAAACACAGGGCTGATGTGGCCCCGGGTAAACATGAGTTTGACACCCCTGATCTATAAAGCATCAAATGTAAAGTGAAAATCTAATCACCTTTATACCTGAGTAACTGACTCAAAGTTTAATCTTGACATTATATGTAATATCCTTAATATTAGATAAAAGGCCCACAACAACACCTTGACATTAGGCAAAAATCCCCAATGGCCTCAAAATGATGGCAACTTAAAGCTGTATCTACTTTACAAGGCAGCAGAACAGGTCCGACTTTAACTCTGAGTTAAGTCCCTCAGTCACAGAACATCCTCAGGCTGTCACTGAGCACAGTCCTAGGAGCGGGAATGTCTGGGCTACAGAGTCTCAAAAATGACCACAGGAACCCCCCAAGTGAGTGCCCAACTGTGTCCGAGATGCTACCTCAGGCACCGACGGGGTTACAAACGGAGGGTAAAACGCATCCTTAGCCCCAGGGAATCCTCCCTCTATGCTCATGCCTCTGTCAGCACAGCAAGGCAAGTGGATGATTAAGTGTCACAATGAATGGGGACAGAATATAAATACTAAAAGGCAACCAGAGAAATGAACTGTCAATGTGGGCTTGAGGAAAGTCTTAGAGAAGATGCAGAAGTTAAACTGGGCTCTGAAAGGAGGAAAGCATTTGGAGAGGTAGAAGAATATAAGCAATGGCTTTACAGCAGGACAAGAATTCAGGAAGCCGCATGGGGTACACCTGGCTGGGTTAAAGCATCTATGTTGACATGCAGTGACAGAGGAAATGGGATGGCAAGGGATGACCAACATTATGGTGCCAGTTTCAGTTTGAGGGGTTAGCTGCAATAGACCATCAAGACTCCAAATCCAAGAGTTAAAGGAGAAAATCTATGTACTTTTAGTATAAGGAATTCACGAACAGTATCTACCTGTGGTGCTCAGGCAAGAGACGATGATCCAGCCTAAGACTTTGGAGTAAAGGAGCAAAGAGACTGACATTTAAATGATAAGACAAGTGAAAGAGGAATCAAAGCTGGCAGAGATTTCAAGCCAGGGGGAATCAGTTCTGGTACCAATTCCAATGTGTGGGGAGGTTCCCCAGCCAATAAGCAATTCTCAGGATCCTGGCTGCATATCCCACAATCCAAATCAATTCCGACACTATCACCCTGGACAGAAACATCAACTTCCCCAGACTGAGGGTTCAGTCCTACACGTCCCGCAGCTTCCCTACAGATGCCAGTAGTAGTCCAGGTTATCACTTGTACTTTCGACCAACTAGGTGTGAATCAGAGGTTATGGGAACTAAACTTCCTTAGGTTTAGTTTGTCAGAATGATTCACAGAACTCAGAGAACCATTTTACTTACTTGAGTGTGGGTTTACTATACAGCTCTAACTCGGGCCAACAGCCCAATGGAAGAAGTGCACACAGCGAGGTGTGGGAAAAGGACCTGAAGCACCCACGCACACCATTCTCCCCAAATCTCCACGTGTTCACCAACCTAGGAGCTGAGTGCTGGCTTCTGCGTTTTTGTAAGGTTTTATTACACAGTCATGATTGATTAAATCCTTGGCCACTGGCAACCAATTCAACCTCCAGCCCTTCTCTCCTCCCTTGGGGTCAGGAGATGGGGCTGAAATTCCAATCTCTATGTGGTGGGGTCTCCAGGCAACCAGCCCCCATCCCTTTTGTCATCAACAAAACAAAGGACAACCAGCGGATTTCTCAAAAGAGACCTTACAGGCAAGAAGGGGCTGGAAAGAGGTATTCCAAGTCATGAAATCCAAAGACCTACAACCAAGATTGCTCTATCCAGCAAAACTTTCATTTAGAATGGAAGGACAGATAAAGTGCTTCTCAGATAAGACCAAATTCAAGGAGTTCATCATCACCAAGCCCTTATTATATGAAATGTTAAAGGGACTTATCTAAGAAAAAGAAGTTAAAGAAACATGAACAGTGAAAGGACAACAAACTCACAGTTATTAACAACCACACCTAAAACGAAAGCAAACTAAAAGGACAGCTAGATCAGGAGTGGAAACATAGAAATGAAGATCTCAAGGAGGGTTAGCAACAGGGGAGTGGGAGGAGGAGAAGGGGGGAGAAGGTACAGAAAATAAGTAGCATAGACAGTAGATAGAAAATAGATGGGGGGGCAAGAATAGCATGGGAAATATAAAATCTAAAGGACTTGAGACACATGGTCATAAACTAAAGGGGGGGGTAATGGTGGGGATGAGGGGTAGGGTGGAGGGGAATAAAGGGGGAATAGAACAACTGTAACAGCATAATCAATTAAAAAAAAAAAAAAAAACAAAGGACACCTATGGGGCTCCCGTCACTTAGTAAATTCCAGGAACTGTGTAACTGGAACCGTGGATGAAGACCAAATATGTATGAAAAATACATTTGGATCATCTGAATGACTGAACACATATTTCTTATGAATCACAGTACTGCACTGGAAATTTAGCACTCACTGACAGGAAAAGCTAGAAAAGGAGACTAGAGGTGAACAAATGAAGGGAAACATGCTCTGACCACCTTAGGTTCCAGAAAATGACAAAATCAAAGTAAGGAAGTCCTTCATTCATATTAACAAAGTGCCTACTATGTGGCTGATGTTTTGCTAGGTAGAAGGGTTTCCCAAAGAAATAAGACAAGGTTCCTTCCATTTAAGTTCACAGTCTGGGGGGAGAGACCTATAAAAAATAAACAGTAAACACAACAGACATTGATAAGGCGGAGAGTCTAACAATTTGAATGGTAATAGAAGGATTCCTAGCAGTGATGGTACCTGAGTCTGAAATCTCTTAAAGGACACTTTGAAATTTACCAGCAAGAGGGTAGGGGGTGAGGTGAGAAAGCCAGGCAGGGAGAGCCACTTCTGCACACTCAGGGAAGGGCAAGTTCTCTATGTCTGAAATGCAGTTCAAGGTAAGCGACAGAAAAGACGCCAGAGAAATAAACAGAGGCATGCTCATGAAAGAGCTTATGTGCTGTGAGGGTCTGTGGACTGTATCCCGAAGATTACAGAGATCTATTAGTGAATATTAAGGCAATGACAGGTGCGGCAGGGTGGTGGCGTAATCCACAGTGACACAGACTGCATGCCCAGGTAGATGGTGGGGGAGGTCAATAGTTCCATTCTTGGAGAGTTGTCTAACAGGCAGCATTATGTATGAGGCCAAAGCTTAAAAGAGGCATATACAACAGATACCCATCTGAGTGTCACTGAGTGGCAGATAAAGGAATGCAAATAGTACCTACCAGCCAAGGAGAAAGTACAGACCCTGGGGGGGGGGAGGGGGGGAAGGACACAAGATTTAAGGACTAAGCAGAGGAAAAGGTACTTGTGAAAAAGTCTGAGAAGTATTAGCCAGAGACAGAGAGAAACACCAAAACCAAGAATATAAAGAAGAGTTTAGAGAAAGAGAGAACTGCCCTGACCAGGGTGGCTCAGTTGGTTGGATGTCATCCCACAAAGTGAAAGACTGACAGGCCCATTTCCAGTCAAGACAAATGCCTGGGTTGTGGGTTCAGTCACCAATTGGGGTGCGTATTAGAGACAACCGACTGATGTTTCTCTCCCTCTCTCTAAAAATAAATAAATAAAATCTTCTCAAAAAGAGAGAGAGAGAATGGCCAATGCCAAGGGGTCAAGTAAGGGAAGGACTACCCTATAGGGGATTCTACATGAGACAGGAGTTCAAGAAACATACTTATGAACTTGAGACATGTTCAAACTGCCAGGAATAAGAGTGCGAGAGACAGATATAAATCAAAGAGAAAGGAGGCAGGCGAAGCAGTAAAAATAACAAAGGCGACAGCAGAGAAGTTGTTAAGCCAAGAAAATGCAATGTTGAGAATGGCGAGAGTCTGAAGCGAGCCCTGAGAGTATCGCACCCTGCGCGTGACCAAAACTGAAGAGTGAGAACAGACTCTTGAGGTCTGGCCAGTCATTCAGTGCAAAGGTGGGCAGGCACAACCTGAGAAGGCAGACTCAGAATGTAAAGAACGCTAATCTCTCCCAAGGTTTCACCTGGGAGAGATATGTGATATGTGAAGGGGAAAGACATTAATTATGCCAAGACAACAGGCATAATCTGAGGACTCTTCCTGAGCAAAATGGACACAGACCCACCCTATGATAAATAACGTTAATTTACTTAAGTTCAAGCTGAGTTTCCTTAGGATACTGAAAAGCAATGTTGTAGATTTTGAAAGTTTCTTCCCTAACTAGGACCATTATCAAATGTTAACTAGAATGATTAAATATTGGCACTATTGAGCTGCATTCCTTAAAATAAATAAGGATAGAAATAAATAAATAAATAAAAAAAATAAGGCCAAGGATGGAAAAAAACATAAACATACATTAAGTTCGGCTTTGGATTCCATGAGGCGAGGATGATCTGCACAATCCACCAGAAAGACAATCCCATTAATTGCTGGGAGATAATTTTTCCAAACCCGACGTGCTAAAAAAACAAAGTTCAAAGTTGCATCAATAAAAAAAAATATATATCTTTTAAATGAATAACCTGGTCTATGAAATAGTCAAATCTTAGCCAGGTCTCAACAGCATTAAACTCTATATGATCTTCTAACTCTTAGTCAGTATTAAGTCAAAAACTAATGGTTCATGAACTGAATGATTTTTTAAAACTCAAAAACCAGAGGTGTTTTGGCCTGATTTTCTTAAAAACTGCAACATCCAACAGTCCCTTGCCTATCTACTCACATGCCCCTTTGCGTGAGGTCTGGGCTGTTCAGTTTCTGCCACTCCGCACTGTCTTACACCCAGTCAATTTCAATCACTTAAATCTCCTTCCTCAGCCCTGGAGCCATTTTACTTTGCAATGCCTGAGTTAAAATATCATGATGCAAATTACTGGTCCATAAAACTTTAGCCCAAAGTTAGTTTCTAACTACCCGATGTGTAAGTGTACTGACACACTCACTCAGCCCTCAGGGAGTCTGGGCTGACAGGTGGCTGAAGTTCCCAGGCCAACCACCTGAGTCTCCCATATTCGACCCAGTGTGCCCTACACATTTTATTTTTATGTCTATGACATAAAATGTTAACGGTTTAGGAAGCAATGCTTTAAACTATATTATAATCTCTAAGCCATTCATTTCTAGTTCTTTCAATGGAATGACTAAGGAAGTATCTCTACATCAAACAGTTAATAATGGTTAACCTCTGAAACTTTCATTTTTACCTTCCATATTTGTATACTGATTGGATACTGAGTTTGTTACAGTGAGTCTAGACTACTCTTATAAGTTAAATTTTTAAGTTACACACATATATAAAAAAGGAGATATATACATGGAAATTTCCAAATGTACAGTATTTTAGTAACTTCTGTATAATAGTGGTCAGGTTACTACGAAAAACTTTGTTAAATAAATTTTCCTCCCACAAAACTAAGCACATAAACACATTTCCCGTCTTACTCTATCAAACCCTGAAAGCCAAATTATCACACCAGACAAACAATTCCCAGCTCAGGCATCTACAAATGCCTACAGCTCTGCACTCACCAAAGTGTCTCAGTTCAGCTTATGACTGAGTCGCCCCTGGTTTAAATTTGTAAGCAGTTACAAATCTTTTCAAAAGAAGCAGAAAAGACACCATATACCCTTCCTACCCAAATGAAAATAATAAAAGCTTATTATAGGAATTAAAAAAAAAAACAAGATAATCTGTAATCCTCTATCAAAACACACACACTGCTAATAGTTTTATGTATTTTTTCAAAATTTTTTCTACACATTTTATAAAGTCATACTACATATGATTTTATAGCATATAAATATTAAATAAAATAAATGTATTATATGCTAATGAAATCACTGACTATAAAATTATTTGGATTGCTTATGGCCTTCCGGCTAAAATTTTTTGGCTGGATGATTAAAGTTACCCCAATTCTATTTTTAATAAACTTTTAAAAACCTATATTAAGAGTCTACCTAACATAATGCTCCAATAGGAAACTTTTCAACTCAATTTAATAACCACTGAGTAAATCTGAAAGAATCTCAATTGGCTCTTTCTTCTACCTTTACAGAATATTCATTCCCACATCCTAAATGTTTTACTCCTTAGCCTGGAATCTGGCCAAATGTAAAGCGAGTGTGTATCATATAAAGATGCCTCATTCTGTATAGCTCTAAAACACATACAAGACACCTGACAGGAATCTGGTAACCAAACGGACATAGCTGGAGTAGGGCAAAATGCACCGAGAACGAGAGGGTAAAAAAAAAAAAAATGACCCAAAATGGGTAAAGTATACAAAATATCAATTGATATCAGAGTGATCACAAGTAGTTATTACTGTATATTATTTTTACAACTTTTGACAAACTTGAAATTACTTACAAATAATACTTAATTTCCTATATAATTACACTGAATTGAAAAAAGGATATAAAGAGACATGATTAAATTCAATGTGATACTATATTGCATCATGTTTAAAAGGAAGAATTCTGTAAAGGAGATTATTGGGACAATTAAGAAAAAAAGGATTATGCACGATAGAGCAGATAAAAATAAAACTTTCTGGGTTTGAAAACTAAGATTGTATAAGGGAACATTCTTGTTCTTGGGAAATATGCACTAAATATTAACAAATCAGAGAGAATGATGAACTCATAAATGGTTCAAGAAAAATAAATATTAATATGTATTATATAGAAAGGGAGACTGATAAATCTGGACAAAAAGGTGTAAAGAAGTGGAGTTGTCTATTATTTATGAAACTTTTGAAAATTTGGAAATTACTTTAAAATAAGTGAATGAATCAACTTTGTTAAATAAGATCTCAATCCTAAATGCAAGCAATTTAAAAGGTAAAAATGATCCACTGCTTAAAAAAAGTGGGGTACAAATGAACCAGAAGTCAATACCATCCATCCACTGAATCGTTCCTTACCTTGCTCATGCCCACCAAGATCGAAAGTTGTAAAAGTCATTCCAGCAATCGTCAGCTCTTCTGATGCTGAAAAATTATCAATAGTGAGGAAAGAAATAAACTCCTCCCTCCAAACAAGGCCCAGCTACAAGTATTGAAAGCCAATACAACTGCAAAACTTAACACAGCTTTCACCTTGTAAAGAAAAGAATACAAGAATGAAAATATTCTTAAATTATTTTTAAAAGCCAAGTTTCTTTTTCTCTAATTTCTCACTACTTAGAAGTAGATAAGGGAGATGTGTCCCGTTACAGGACTAGTGAGAACAGAGAGTGACAAAGTTCCAGAGGTTGAGACTTATGAGTATGTGACCTGAGTGTGTCCTACAGGGAGTTTTTTTTCAAGTGACCTGTCTTCTGGGAACTCAGTTAAGACAAGAACTACATCCATTGGGGATTCATCCTCCAACCCTAACGCCGACCTTTAGATATCAAAAGGTCAGCTGGTATTTTCAAACCTACTCGGATGTAATGTAGGAACATGTTGGCCCAATCTGTCATCTTTGAGCATATGTAGAAGAGTGGTTTTGCCTGCATTGTCCAAACCCAAGAATACAAGTTTTCCAGATTTCTTGTAGAGTCCTAAAAGAGAAAAAAAAAATTAACGTAATTTTCCTCTCTATATACTAAAAGCTGCTTGTATTTAAACTGTTGAAGGAAATGCAGAAAGTTTGAAACCTATGATATATTCCAAGGAAAGTGGCTTTACCTAGGAACTGGAGCACACTGCTGAAGCCATTGTAGATCCACTCAAAGATGAAAGACATTATTAGTGCTCACTACCTGTGTAAAATATGAAAGCGGCAAACATTAGCTTTCTGAATGCTACACAGTTCTGGAGAAGTTAGCTCTTGTTCCCTGATCCTGATGCACATTTACAGTCCCAGGCTTTGGGGCATGAGAAAACAAAGGATTCTGCACCCTGGAGGGAAGTCTGTCGGGTCTTTGATCTGCAGAAAGTCCTGGTTTTCTAACAGTTTTCAACCTATGAAACTCAGAGAACTAGGAATTGAAAATATACTTTCCTCTTTTACTGTGTGACTCGCTCCTCCAGGAAGCTGCTGATTCACATTCCCTACAGATACCACTGCTGTCCACCAGTTAACAAAACCTCTAGGTAATCAGTCCCATCAATTATCTGGATCAACATTTCACATCAATTCATTAAGTAGAAAATAAGAGTGAAAAAAAGGCATATTAACCGGAATGAAAAGCACATTAACCCATCCTTGTAAACTTATCTAAAAAACAATGTCACAATTTGCCCTGCTGCATTTATCAATGCTATCTCTTCTTTTTGTTTTTCTTTTCATCTTGTCTTCATTTTCTTTTCGTTATCTCTTCTTAAACAATATTTGTTGAGTCCCTGTTGCAGGTATGTCTCAACTTACAAAAGAGATGATACCACTATTTTGGAAAGCCATGAAGCAGTAACAAAGAACCTTTTTGTAATGTGAATAACCAAGATCTCAACACTTTACAAATACAGATTTTCTTAAAATAACAATATCCTTTCAGGGCATTGTGGTAGCTTCCCAGGCAAGTGCATACCTTAATTAGTACTAATAGTAATGTCTACTGTTTCCCATAGGCCTAAACAAAACCAAAGATGATCCAAAGCTACAGAAAGGTCGACATACATTGGCAATAAGCAACAGGACCTCTGAATAAAAGTTAAGAGAGAAGGATCTTGAGTCAATGGTAGGTGTTAATGTTTCTCAAAGGCAGCATTTTTTGGTCACACTGAACTTTTGGCTCAGTATCACAGATTTGGTACAAAAAAAAATGGAAAGATCACCCATTTTCACTTCTGTCCATCATCAACAGCACCTGAACACAAGGTTTTATACTAGATGTGATCAACTGCTTACAAATAAAACTTTTCATGACTTTTTGTTTTTTTCAAGAAAGTTAACAAAAGTTTAGTTATGTTACTTTTACTACTAACTTGTAAAAGAGTTATCCATAAAAACCTACCTAGCCCTGGCTAATGTGTCTCAGTTCGTTGGACCATCATCCTGTAAACTGAAAGGCCGTGGGTTCAATTCCAGGTCAGGGCACATACCTAGGTTGCGGGTTTGATCCCTGGTCAGGGTGTGTAAGAGAGGTGACCAATGGATGTTTCTCTCTCCTTCTCTTTCACAGCCCAGCCCTCACCCCTATCTCTAAAATCAACAAGTGTGTCCTCAGGTGAGGATTAGTGGGGGGAGGGGGAGCCTACCTATATATTCTTCATTCAAAGAATGCTAAGTGAATAATAAACTGGAAAACAGAGACGAAGCATGTTAGTTACTGTTCTTTTCCATCCAATTACTGTTTCTTTTTTGTTTTGTTTTAATCAGGCCTGTGGCCTCACCTATAAACTTTAGGGAGTGCTTAATGCATATTTTCCATGGCTCTTATGGACAGCAAGATGAAGGGTAGGGGTTTGAGTGAGGGTGGAGACTGACAGCGAAAGCTTTTATAAGACACTAAATAAGGTTTTATTCCTTTTAGTAACATCAAAATACACTTCGGCAGAAAGAACAAATTCAGCATGTTAAATAGTAGTTTTGTCTGGAACCCTGTCCTATACTTTAAGAAGTACAGGGACTTACATAAACTTACAATGTTCCTGTGCTTAACTTCCACTAAAAGGACAACACGCCACTCCTCTGCAGTCCCCAAAAACCAAGTCGCCCTTCCCTACTCTGCTCAGTCTACCATTGAGAAAAGTGCAGATCGCCTTCAGAAAGTGCCTCTCATTTAGGTCACTTTCAGTCTGATAACTCCTTTGAAATCCAACACATGCATTCATTTGCACTACACTGGTTTGCTGTCAGTACCTCACAGACTCTTGGTAAAGTTTTAGCAAATCATTTTAGAAGTATTCCCAACTCGATGAATTCTCAGAAGGTGACAAGAGGAAAACCCCATTTTAAGGGAATTGTTCATGGTCAATGAACTATTTTTATTTTCCAATATTTTCCCTCGACATAACCTGTTTTAAAGGTCCTATAATTCTTCCAGTCAGAATGATCTATGGAGAGTGCTTGAAGAAACCCTTTAGGTGATGTTAAAAAAAAATAATAGAAACCCTAACTGGATACAAAGAATTGTGTTGCATTGCTACCCTAACTTCACGGCACCTCCATCTTTGAGATCTTAGGGTTTGTACCCCTTCGTGAGCAGTTTTACGGTGTGCGCAGTGCCTGCACACACACCACATTTCCTTCTCACACCGCCCCACCAGGCAGGAACTATACGAACGCTGGCGCTCGTAGGTTAGCTGGCTTAACAAAGGCTGCTCAGCTGAAAAAGTAACAGTGCCAGAACTCAACCTTCCTCTTTTAATACCTCTTCCTCTTAATATCACATCAAATTCAAATCAAAATCACAAAATTGTTTTTTGAAAAACATAAAACTTCCTTAACCACACCAACTACACTCATGATAATCTTCTGAAGTTTTCTTCCTTACAATGCATCACACATTTTGAATGGTATGTTAATAACTAGCATCCCACTTATATCTTTTATCCTTGATCCTCTCTACCACCTTATGGCATCTTATGACAAATTAGAGTATTCTAAATTTAAGGGCTCTGAACTACCAACAATAGCACTGTCAAAGTCCCCAAAACTAAAATTGCAAATTTCACGACTCATTGATCAAATAAATAAAAAGGGAAAGCACCAGGCCCACCATTAGCCAATAAAGAGTCTATACATCACTTCTTCTACATACTCAGATAAAGCAGCTGGCTTTTAGCTAAGGAACATGCTTAGCTGTAAGGTATAAGTCAAACGCCAGACCTATTGCAAAGTTCCATAAATCCCCAACCTAAGCAGATGGGAGCAAAGTACAGCAGAAAAGAGCAAGAGAGAATACTAACAAGACAATCTGGTGGCGATGCTCACAAGTGTGCTTCTTCCTGACCGTTCGGCTGGAATCCTGAAGTAAATATTAATCTATACCAAACAAACATGAAGAAATTTTTCCATGAACTGAAAACAGAGTGGCGGTTAAAATCGGAGGTGGAAGACGAAAATACAGTGTTCAACCAAGGCCATCGGATAACAGCTGAAGGGGGGGGCGGTGCGCAGTGTGGATCCTAGGAGGCAGGAGGACTGGTTCCAATGCTCACACTTGCTATCTCTGGGGCCTTGGCCAATTCATTGTGCCTCGGAGAGTCTCAGTCCCCGAGTATGTGAGACAAGGATAGTCACGAAGGTCTCCTACCCACCTCACCGAGGGCTGTAACGCAAGGCTCATCTGAGACAGGGGATGTGAAGCCTTTTCGTAAACCAGGGCGCACAGTACAAACAAGAAAACTGTTATCCCGCCAAGTAGCTGCAAGACCCCCGAACGGAATGCAGATCGACCTGCTACCCCAGAAGCAGACACAAGACTGAGCAGACCCGGACAAGCCGGCCCATCCCCGCCCAGAATCAGTCCCGTGGCCCCACCGAACCGCCTGCGTGTCACTTCCCCCGCCCCCCCACCCCGCTTTCGCCAGTCTCCGCCCCGACCTTTCTGTCCTCCGCCCTAGCCTGTCCGACCCTGCTCTCTCCTTTGCCGCGGCCTCCCGACTTACGGCCCAACAAGCTCCTCCAGCTGCGGCGGGCGTCTTCGACCCTCCTCTGAGCACACAGCCCAGCAGCACCCGGGAACGCGAGCTACTCGCCGGATATACGTAACCCCCCTCCCCCGGGACTTCCGGGGGCGTGCTTGCCCCGCCCATCTGTAGCGTCACAGCGCTCTGCCACCGCTGGGCGCCCTACCAGCGACTCCGCTGCGGAGGGGCGGGCCTCAGGCCTGACAGACTTGCAGTGGGCAGGCCCTACCTGGCCACGCCTCCTCCCTCGCGGATTGTTGGATGAGAGACGTGGCAGCGCGGTGGCCGAAAGGGTGGGGGCTGCATCCTGGCATCTGGGGGTGGTCCTAGACGCTGGGGATCGCGACTTCAAATCTGACTGCTTTCTCGGGCGCAAGGGAAATATTGCAAGGGGCGACCAACAATTACGTAGGTTCTTAGAAAGAATTAACCTGAGAGCCCTCGATCTAAGGTGGATCTCTGCAAGCTTTTGCTTTAAGTCACGTTGCACCGTGACAGCCTGTTTTTTTTAGAACAGCTAATAGTCTTCGAAAACTTGTGTTCCAGGCAGTGCCCTGAGTACATAGAATGCCTCGCCTCAGTTGACCCTTATTACAGTCCTGTGAAGAAGATACCGTTAATATCCCAAGTTTACAAATGAGAGGACCGAAGTAACCAAGCCCAAGTTCATACACTAGGGAGCGGCAAAGCAACACATTGACTCTACTATCTTGTCCTTCACATGCATTTCCTCATTTAATTCTGAGATTACTAATAATCTCATAAATTATACTCCCATTTTATCAATACAAATAAGAACACTGAATCCAATTAAAAGATGAATGATATTTGTAGGTAGGGAGACTCAGTATCACAAAGATCTCTTTTAATATTCATATAAATTACTAACAGAATTAATAAGTTATTTGAGTGTTTTTTAAACCACCCTATTTGTTCCTAAAATTCAAATGGCAATGGAAAAATAGCAATACTAGTCTGGAAACAAGCTCTGATAAAGTAGAACAAGGAGGGAAGAACTAGCACTATAAGATAGTAAAACATATTACTGAGGATTAATTAAATCCTCAGTAATTAAAACAGTTTGGTACTGGTACACAAAAAAAAGCCAAACAAACAAATGGAATTGAGTACAGAAATTGACCCAAATACATGCAGAAATAAAATTAAAGTGACACCTGGCAATTCCAGCAATACTGAGAGGGAGCTGGGTAGGCAAGCTCACCACCTTCTCTAATTTCATCCAGTGGGCCTTCTACATTGAGTTTGAATCCCGCCAGATACAGAAGGGGATCAGTCCATGTTCTGAGACTTCTCACCAGCTTTGGCTAAACTGAGGGAACTGTGTCCATAGAACTCAGAATCCCAATGTGTACATCCTGAGCCACAGGGCTGCCCCAGTGCAACCCAAGGTATTGGATTACTGGCCCTGATAGAAGTCTGGCTACAGGAGATGGAGGGTTCTCAAACCACAGGATGGTTGTGGGGAGGAGTCTGACGAGGACGGAGGGAGCACACAGGCGGATTCTTAGGAGATCTGCAAACTACCTACCAGCTGGGTAGCCTTGGCAAGCTGACAAGTGCCCTCTCACTCCAGCCACAGTGTACCCACCTCTAAAATGTGTGGAAGAGGCATTGTTGTTCATGTTGGCAGTTTTTTAAGAGTATGTTTTCAATAAGTGTTTCAGTTATGTGCTTAAAAATAAATAAATAATAAAAGGGTTGGGACCGTTGGGTAGTCAAAAAAACCTAAGCGAGGCCCTGGCCAAGTAGCTCAGTTGTTTAGAGCACTGTCCGAAACACCAAGGTTGAGGTTTCCATCCCTGGTTAAGGCACATACAAGAATTAACCAATGAATGTATAAATAAATGGAATGAAAAATCAGTGTTTCTCTCTCTCCCCCTTTCTAAAATCAATTTTAAATAAAATAAAATAAAAAACCTAAATGTTGAATTTATAAGTTACATACTATTCTAAGTAAGTTCCAAATGATTCAAAGATTTGTATATTTTGAAATGATAACATAAAAGCATTAAGAAAGTATGGGTGACTTCCTTATAATCTTGAAATGAAGACCTTCTTGGGGTTTTTTTTTTCCCCTCTCAAAATGTGCTTGCCCTGCCCAGCGTGGCCCAGTTGTTCGGGAGTCATCCTGCAGGTCGATTCCCGGTCAGGGCACGTTGCAGGGCACGTTGCTGGGTTGCAGATTCATCCCTGGTTGGGGCACGCTCCAGAGGCAGCTGACTGTCATTTCTCCCTTATGACAATGTTTCTCTCTCTCCCTCTTTCTCCCTCCTTTCCCCTCTCTCTAAAATTAAACGAATAAAATATCTAAATATATATTATTGCCTGTAGTTATTGCACCAAACTATTCATAGAGGCTAATTCTTTTTTTTTTAAATCTTCACCTGAGGCTATGTTCTCTGAGTCTAGAGCAAGAGGAAGGAAAGGGAGAGAGACAGAGAGAGAAACATTATTGGCTGTCCCCTCCCCGGCCCTGCACATGCCCCACACATACCCTGACCAGGGATTGAACCAGAAACCGGGGCATGTGCCCCAACAGGGAATCGAACCCTCAACCTTTTCTGATGTATGGGGCAATGCTCCAACCAAGTGAGCCATCCAGCCAGGGCAAGGCCTTCCTGGTTTTGTTTGAAAATCCAGAAGCCATAAAAAATTGATAGCTATAAGTACAGAAAAATAGAAAACTTTTATATTAAAACAACAATAATGTGATACTATAAACTCAACAGATAACAAGTTGAGAAAAATTATATGGAATCACATCCAAGGCAAGTGAAAATTAATATGAAGAAGACTAATTGTTGTTAGAAAAATAGGCAAAGCCTAGGACCAGACAGCTCACAGGGAAGGAAACATATATGACTCTTAAACCATTAAACTAATAATAGAATATAGTAGATATTATAGGATACAGCACGGGGAAAAATAGGTTTATAGTTGTATGTGAAACAGAGTTTATTCTTGTAATATTACTTATTAATCATTGTATTATTTTCCATATGAACAACTATAAACCCACTTTTGCCCCACCATGTATGTAGATATAGAAAATAATAAAGATAAATTTAAAACTTACTTTTAAAGATAAATTTAAAAGATACCATTTTCAACCATCAGGTTAGCAAAAGTCCACCTGTGTACTGGTGGCAAGGCTATTTTCAATAGAGAAGTCGAAGAAGACCCCACTAAGGTGTTCTTTGGAGAAGACCTGAAGGACATCTGGGGGGAAAATGTTTCAGGCTGACAGCAGAGCTTATGCAAAGGCCCTGAGGCAGGATGCACTTGGCAGGTTCCAGGAACTGTGTAGCCAGGCAGATGACAAGGGAAGGAGTAGCAGATGTGCTGAGAGAGGTACGGAGGTAGGCAGTTAAGAACTGGGAAAGTTCTGAGATTTTACCTCACCTGCAAGCTAATGACTTACTCTCGTACTGTTCCATGGATACCGAGACACGTGGGACTCCTGGGGCAGAGATGAAGGATTTTACTACACCTCAAGCTGAGCAAGTGGCCTGAGCTTCATGTTTATGTCTTTTCCAGTTGCTTCCCCAACCCAAGTCCTTTGGGGTGACACAGAGCATCCCAGGTGGATGCTATCCCGTTTGTACCATAGCTGAAAAACCCATAAGTTAGGGAACTGAAATTTTTCATAATGGACTACAAGCAAAGCTGCCTGATCTTTGTCCCAGAGGGAGATATTATTACACTGGACAGTAAACAAACCCTCCCCTGGCCCAGAAGCAGAGTCTGTCTTCCAAGGCTGTTCCTAATGTAAGCATCCTTGAAAAGCAGGTCTGAACAAAGACAGCCAGTACGCTGCTCCAAAAACAGAAATGGAAGAGATTTGTGGAAAATTGTCTATCAATAGGGCACAAAGCTTTAGAGCTTTGTGGTTCACTGTGAGGACTTTAGCTTTTATTGTGAGTGATCTGGAGAGCCAATATAGGGTCGAGGATCTGAGCAGAAGAGTTTTGTGTAATTATTCTCTCCACCCTGTTCTTATATTCCTACACATGCTCAACATTAGCTAGAAATGCACTCAAGTGAAAATGGAGACTGAAATGCAACTGCATTAGTCAAGAGTTCTCCAGAGAAACAGAATAAGTAGGATCTATATAGATATACATGAGGAGATTTTTTAAAGGAATTGGCTCACAGTTATGGAGGCCAAGAGGTCCCATGATCTGCTATCTGCAAGCTAGAGAACCAAGAAAGTCAGTGGTACTTAATTTAGCCCAAGTCCAGAGTCCTGAGAACTTGGGGGAGGGGGCTGCTAGTGTAAGTCCTGGAGTCAGAAGACCTGAGAACCAGGAGCTCTGATGTCCAGGGGCAGGAAAGGTAGATACCTCAGTGTTGGGAACCGCCCCGCCTGGTTTCAAAACTGTAACCCTCCCATGGCTAAGGCTCAGTGAGTGACCTTGGGACCCTAAGCCACTAAGGAGACAAAGCTTATCTCGCTGGCAGGAGCACCACCTCTGCCCCCTTTACTTCACCCTGCCTGGCCCTGGGTGGATGACTGGTTAGCCAATGATGAGTAAGATTCCTCAAGGGAGGGATGACCTAAGATAGGCACGATCATGAAAGGGTGCTCAGGGAAAGATTTGGGGGGGCTATAGAAAAAGGGGATGATGAACCCAACCCTCACCCCTCAGCTTTGACATAGCCTGAGTCCTCATTCTGTCTGCAAGAGGTCTCCTAATCTCTTGGCTGCCTTACTTCCCTTGCCTGATTTAAGCCTGAAACAACACAAGAGGTGGGTGCCTCCCTGTGCTGGAAGGGGCAGGTTCCTAGGGCGATCAGGCCTAAGAAAGAATGCATAAAATCCTGTGAAACCTGCTTTGCTAATAACCTCAATTTAAATGATAAGGGTCCAAGCATGGAATAAATTAGTTTCCCCAAAGTTTCAGGGCCCTTTAGCTATCTGATCCTGACTCAAAATAAGCCTTCATAGTTCTTTGAATGTTATCTATTATTTGATCATTACTGCCTAACAATGATTGATGAGCCTTCCATTTACACACTGCATTCCTATGTAAATTGAACTCACAATAAAAGCCTGTCAAGGCAA